TTGTGTTGCCATCAAATAAAATTATTAACAGCTATATAGCTGTAGCCGTCCGCTTCGATGAGCATTTAAAGTTAACATTATCATTTCTCACCTCCACAAAGATTCTCATCATTAACGCCCCCGCAACTGGTGTAGGGAGTCCAACGCTCATATAAATATTAGCCTATCTATTAAGTACATGTATTTTCTACATGGATACCAAGTTTCAAGTCAATCGGATGCATGGTTCAGTAGTTATAACGGAACATCCGTAAAAACCACTGTAGATTTATATATTAGTATATAGAAGTATAGATATAGATATATTTGAACATCATTTTCTTAAGACTTCTCGGCGTCCGATCAAGTAGACCACAGATAATAGAAACACGTGTTTCTATGATCTGTGAACTAGACAATTCGCCCGCGCGTCAAGGATGGATTTTTTTCCTACCCATGCTGATACGTTTGAGGGGCTATTTCAGCTTCGACCTAACGTGTAGGGAGCTCACGGGGCTCAAACCGGAGGTGTTGCTAACACTGGCCCTAGCAAGGGCAGTGCTTCGCAGAATCTACCACCGGATCGGAAACGCGAAGATCCGGCGAGAAACTCAGTGGGCTGACGACACATTAATTCTGCAAACTCGCTCTGATATCCTGACTTGATAACGACAGGGTAAACAGAGATATGAAATTAATAGTTCGGCTTTTAGTCATAGTTAATGAATTTATTTATAATTTTACAATATAACAAATCAAAATAATTTAACAAAAAATCAACGCACGCAGTAGAACAAATCTTCCAATGCGCCTGAAGGAGGCACAGTTCCCAAGATACTGGCTACGTTGCCTCGTTGGGACAGCCAGACTCACTCTCTGTGCAAAGTACCAGCCAGCCTTAGCATCACGTGTAACGCCCTTCAAACGTTTGGAGATTGCTGTTAAAAAAATTCTTTGCTTCAGGGCCCCAAGGGCTCATCGTCTAGTTCGGCTTATGGTTTAAGCGCATTTCCTTGGCTTCAAAATTACATATAAAAGAACGAAAGGCTGTCCTATTTAAGGGACATTTCGCTCAACAAGCGACATGGATTACTGGTGGTAGGACCTCTTGTGAGTCCGCGCGGGTAGGTACACTCCCGGTTAGAGCCCCTACCTCACCTACACGTCACGGAGAAGCTGATATAGCCTCTCAAGGCTATCAGCTAAGGTAGGAAAATAAGCTGTTTTGTTTAAATCGACATTTCTCTTAACACGCGACATTTATCTTTGTAATTAAAGGTCCGTTTTATTTGGTATCAGCATCAACGGTTCGATGTTTCTAATTGAACTTCAATTATGTTGACCACGTTCAAATAGGTATCTGTTTTTGTTTTGTCATGATATTTTTTTCTTAAACCTTTAAATGGCTCTCCTGTAAAGTCGCAAGAATGTACTTACTGGTGGTAGGACCTCTTGTGAGTCCGCGCGGGTAGGTACCACCGCCCTGCCCATTTCTGCCGTGAAGCTGTAATGCGTTTCGGTTTGAAGGGTGGGGCAGCCGTTGTAACTATACTTGAGACCTTAGAACTTATATCTCAAGGTGGGTGACGCATTTACGTCGTAGATGTCTATGGGCTCCAGGAACCACTTAACCCTAGGTGGGCTGTGAGCTCATCCACCGATATAAGCAATAAAAAAAAAAAAAACTTTGTAATTAAAGTTCCCTTCTATTTGGTATCAGCATCAACAGTTCGATGTTTCTAATTGAACGTCAATTAAGCTTACACCATTCATATGAAGCCGAAGATTATGATTTTTTTTTGTTACGATATTTTATCTATATACTCAGATAGAGGCTTGTGACATCCAAATTTCTCGCGACACTTTCAAAGCCGCTGACTGACCTTTTAAGCCGACCAAGAAAACGCTTATATTACGTAAAATATTTTTTTAATTCATCGAGACGTAGTACGTAATATCTCGAAGTTTTAATTATTTTCATACACAATGATGTTGAAAGACATCTGTTAACACAGCGAACACTTACAAGCAAAGGCGAATCCAGGGGGAGGGTCATGGGGTCATGACCCCCCCTGAGCTGCTTCCAAGACTTAGGTGGACCACTAATTGAACATAATGATTTTATTTATATATTTTGTCACTATACAGATTTTATGTAATTACATACCTTCAATATTTAATTAATTTAATGTAATATAATAACTTTGTATGATGGCGGAATGAACGCATCGAAAATTTGAATATGAGACCCACTCCTGGCGCCAAAACTGGATCCGCCCTTGCTTACAAGCCAACTAGCTGTACCCGGCCGCTTCGCTGGGCATTGAAAATTAACATTATTATTTCTCACCCCCACAAAGATTCTCATCATTAACGCCCCCGCAACTGGTGTAGGGAGTCCAACACTCTTATAAACATTAGCCTATACATTAAGTACATGTATTTTCTACATGGATACCAAGTTTCAAGTCAATCGGATGCATGGTTCAGTAGTTATAACGGAACATCCGTAAAAACCCACTGTAGATTTATATATTAGTATAGATATAAATTACCGATGATAAAATATTTCTAATATATTCTTTGATCGACGAGTGAAAGGATAATTCGTTTAAGCTACATTTTTTTTATTGCTTAGATGGGTGGACGAGCTCACAGCCAACCTGCTGTTAAGTGGTTACTGGAGCCCAAAGACATCTACGACGTAAATGCGCCACACATTGAGATATCAGTTCTAAGGTCTCAAGTATAGTTACAACGGCTGCCCCGCTCTTCAAACCGAAACGCATTACTGCTTCGCGGCAGAAATAGGCGGGGTGGTGGTACCTACCCGTGCGGACTCACAAGAGGTCCTACCACCAGTAAGTACATTCTTGCGACATTACAGGAGAGCTATATACTATTTCAACATGGTAAACATAATTGAAGTTCAATTAAACACATCGAACCGTTGATGCTGATACCAAATAATACGGACCTTTAATTACAAAGATAAATGACGCGTGTTAAGCGGAATGTCGATTTAAACAAAACAGCTTTTTTTCCTACCTATGCTGATAGCCTTGAGAGGCTATATCAGCGGAACCTTAACTAGTAGGTGAGCTCACGGGGCTTAAACTGGGAGTATTGCTAACATTGGCCATAGCAAGAGTAGTGCTTTGCCGAGTCTACCACCGGATCGGAAACGGGACCCACTGAGAAGATCCGGCGAGAAACTCAGTGGGCTGTGTCTGTGGGTTAATTCACTCGCCGAGCCCTTCGTTCGACGAGGACGTTGACCGTTGCTTGAGGTACCTAAAAGCACCGTTAATGGATCGGGAGGATACGGTCAAAGGGTTAATTTAGATTAAATACAATTTTTATATAAACGTTCCGCTTATTATTCCTACCAAGTAAATATCTATTAACATCGGGTTTTTCCTTTGATGTCACATTACTGTTTGCAGTAAGATAACAATCAACATAATGGCAAATACATTTAAAAGATTAACATTTTAATGGCACTAATTTAATTTTTTACTGATGGTACGGCGTCTTGTGAGTCAGCGCATGTAGGTACCACCGCCCCGCCTATTTCTGCCGTGAAGCAGTAATGCGTTTCGGTTTGAAGGGTGGGGCAGCCGTTGTAACTATACTTGAGACCTTAGAACTTGTATCTTAAGGTGGATGGCGCATTTACGTTGTAGATGTCTTTGGGCTCCAGTAACCACTTAACACCAGGTGGGCCGTGAGCTCGTCCACCCAACGAAGCAATCTATATATGTATATAACAATGAATTGCTGTTCGTTAGTCTCGCTAAAACTCGAGAACGGCTGGACCGATTTGGCTAATTTTGGTCTTGAATTATTTGTGGAAGTCCAGAAAAGGTTTAAAAGGTAGATAAATATGAAAATGCTCGGAATTAAATAAAAATAACAATTTTGTTTTCCCTTTGTTGTGTCCCCCGTCGGACGAATTCTTTTGGTTTGTTTTAAGTTTATTTTATACAAAGGTTTAGGGCTTTTATTTATCGATTGAGGCACTACGAAGTCTGCCGCGTCAGCTAGTAAAAAATATAAAAAAAAAAAACTTCAGAGGTGTCAAGGGACACCCGGATGGAACGAAGTTCCTTTCGATTAATTAGTGAAGGAATTGTAATAATTTTTTTTAAGTTATAATAATAAATTACGGCATTATGAAGAAGAAAAAAACAATACTATGAACTAAATTACTATTGTTGAAACGCTATCTCGAGAAACTGTACTCATTACGCGGACCAATCGGATACGAGCAANAAATTACTATTGTTGAAACGCTATCTCGAGAAACTGTACTCATTACGCGGACCAATCGGATACGAGCAATGTCACGCGATAAGCGCCTACACGTTGATTGGTCAGAATGACGGATCTAAAAAGTGTCGTGACAACTTTTCGTAAGATTTTTTTCCGTCTAGCCCCCTTTCACAACGCGCGATAAGGAACTTCGTTCCAAAAATCGTTCACTGGAAAATTCTCGAAAGGATCATTCATTCACTGGAAAATTCTCGATTAAGTCGCTCAAAGTTCCAACTTAGAATATACGAACTGAAGATCCTAGATCTACTAATAAGGAAGCGTCATTTATAAGTAATTTATAATCAAAACCGACTCACTACTATGATATTGTGTGCAGTGATCCAGTACAGATAAATACACACAGTTGTATTGGGCATGTAGAATGATTTCCGATCTGAACGGTCACCGCTAAAACGCAATTGGGACGTGACCTTTTACTGGAGGTAGGACCTCTTGTGAATCCGCGCGGGTAGGCACCACCACCCTGCTTATTTCTGCCGTAAAGCAGTAATGCGTTTCGGTTTGAAAGGTAAGGCAGTCGTAACTATACTGAGATCTTAGAATTTATATCTCAAGGTGGGTGGCGCATTTACGTTGTAGATGTCTTTGGGCTCCAGTAACCACTTAACACCATCTAAGCAATAAAAGAAACTTAAACTTAGTGCTTAAGCGACAGGATTTGACAAACTTCAAAAGCTACTTACATCTCTCAGGGCATAGTCTGACTGCCTTGGGCTCTAATGCTGTTAGTCCTGGAGAGCCTCTTCCCTATTGTTTGAACGTGGAAGCCAATGTTTATCAGCATATCGTGGTCCAGAATCTTCCTCCCGTCAAACAGATAAGCCGGCTTCATCATGTTGTTGTAGATTTTCTTGAAGTCCAGGCTCCTGAATTCGTCCCACTCCGTGCATAGGATGATGGCGTGAGCCCCTGATATCGCTGAATAGGCTGAGTCGTGGATCGTAATGTTTTTCCGTACCTGGTGAAAACCACAGACCAAATCAAGCCATTAGCTTTCATGTTAATTAATTTTTATACTAGTGGTCTCCCAGTAGTCGAAATTTGACTATAATTAATTTAAATTATAAGTTTGAACATTATTTTGGTTCTATTGTCAATAGACTATTATAATTCTTTAATAACAAATTTCGCCAAGACTACACTATAGATAAATAATATTGAAGACAAACAATATTAATCTATTTTCAATTTGACCAAAGACTTAAAACAACAACTAAAGGTTTACGTTAAACAAAGAATTTGTATATGTGTGTAATTTGTGTAAATACATGGTAGTGTGTGTAATGTTTTTTATAATGCAAAAATGAAAAAAAAAACATTCTGCATTCATTCATTCGCATTCTAGAATGATTCTACTAAAATAATAATACTTAATTGCGTTTTCTGTAAAACACTAAGAAAACAACATTTAAAATCTTTATTCTCTTATATTTCAAATTATTATTATAAACAATATTCTTGAATTATGTAAAACTTAACTTTTTTCTCAACGAAAGACAGGTCAGTAAATTTATCAAAGAAAAAACTATTTTTAAAACCAAAGAGTTTTAAGGGTTTTTAATAAGGTTTTTTCTTTACATTTATTATCAATTATAAATATATTATCAATATATTAAAGAAAGAAGGCAATGCGTATTATTGAAAGATATCTGCTTCAGCAGACCGGAGAGAGGAGTATCCCAAACATTATGATTATTAAACATTCTAATCAAAGGTCTGTTATAAATAAATGTTAAGATGGTAGTTGTAGTGTGTTAGTGAGGGTACTTGTTCTCTTTTTAATAAAAGGATTGCTAAGTGCGGGTTGCATAAAAACAGACACACAATGAACTGATTTGTTACCGAACACATGTGCTTAAGTTCATCATTAAATAATAAAACATAATATGTAGTAGTATAAATATGTCTTAATGCAAATAAAGTAGTAAATTTGCTTTGTTCTTTATTATAGATTAGATCGGTGTTCAAGCCCATCAGATGGAGGTAAAAAAGTCAATATAATTGCTTGATATAGCAACTATCACCGTGTACATTAATTACAACAAATTTAATATGTGAATATATTAAAATAATATAATATATCGTGTAATAAAAATCAATCCGCAAAATTAAAATTTGCGTAATTACTGGTGGTAGGACCTCTTGTGAGTCCGCGCGGGTAGGTACCACCACCCTGCTTATTTCTGCCGTGAAGCAATAATGCGCTTCGGTTTGAAGGGTGGGACAGCCGTTGTAACTATACTTGAGATCTTAGAACTTATATCTCAAGATGAGTGGCGCATTTACGTCCTAGATGTCTATGGGTTCCAGTAACCACTTAACACCAGGTGGGCTGTGAGCTCGTCCACTCATGTAAGCAATAAAAAAAAATTTAATAAATTTCGGTAAAAAACATGACAAAATTTAATCAAATACACGTCTACCGTGAATGAAACGTAAAACGTCAACTTTGACGTCTATCTTGACGATTTTTCCAATTTGTATGGAAACTTTAAAAAATTATACCTCGTAAACTGTTAGTTTCCGCAACTTTAAATTTTGCAAAAAGTTTCCTATTTATGAGTACTATCTACATAAAAATTGTGAACTTCCAAATCGACAGACCATAAAGGAAACTTTAACCAGCATTTGATTTAAGTAACATTTTTGCAACTTTACATGAGAGTAATTTAAAGTATAAAATTTAGAAAAAAATTCATAACAAAAAACACTTCTTCAGCTATTTTAATGGAGTAAACTCAATTGAAGTTCAATTAAAAACATTGATAGCTATTGATGATAACACCAAATAAAATGCACCTTTAATTATTAAGAGAAATGTTCTATGTTAAGCAAAACATTGCTTAATCCAAATAGTGTTTCAGTCCTCTAAATATATGTTAAATATCTTTTTAATTTTTTTTTTATTGCCCTTGTAGGCAGACGAGCATACGGCCCACCTGATGGTGAGTTGTTACCGTCGTCCATGGACTTCAGCAATGCCAGGGGCAGAGCCAAGCCGCTGCCTACCGCATTTTATCTAAAATTGTATCCCCTCTTTATGATATCCTTCCAAATAACATTGCCCAGCCTATTAATATTAATTCTTTATTAACTTTAGTCTATTCTAAACATGTAAATATTCTGTGTCAATTTTTATCTGCTAATTATATTTATCTTTAAAGTAGTTATTCTAACATATAGTTGTTTGTGCTGCTCTTATTTGTATTACATTTGGCTCAAATTTATTTGTATTTAGATTTAGTATTTTTTTTCTTCTCTAAGCACCTGTCATATTTGTATATACTTTGACATTGGCAAAATCAATGCCTAAGGCATTGGAGCCAAATTCTTTATAAAAAAATAATCTAAAATAATAAGTACTTCAAAAAAGAGAAAAAAACTCACTTTCTCAGGCTCTGAAGTAACATAGGGATTGGTCAGCTCATAGTATATCTGGTCGTGCTCCACTTTCGGATCGTAAATGTGCAGCTTTGCACCTTCATCCAATAACGTACTGCAGACATATATGGCGGGAGACTCTCTTGTGTCCCCTGTGTTCTTCTTGAACGAGAATCCGAGTATAGCTATTTTCTTATCCGATACTGTATTGAAGAGTGCCTCAATTACTTTCCGAGTGAACCTCGTCTTCTGGTAGTCGTTTAAGCTCACCACTTGCTGCCAGTAGGCTGCTACTTCTGGCAGATTCAAGCATTCACACAAATAAATCAAATTTAATATATCTTTCTGGAAACAACTGCCCCCAAAGCCGATGGAAGCCTCAAGGAACTTGGGGCCAATACGAGAGTCCCTACCAACAGCTCTGGCCACTTCTGACACATCAGCACCTGTTGCTTCACAGACAGCTGATAACGAGTTGATGCTCGATATTCGTTGGGCAAGGAAGGCATTTGCTGCAAGTTTAGACAGCTCTGAACTCCAAGTATTGGTTGTCAGGATGTTCTTCGCCGGGATCCAGTGTTCGTACACCCAGCATAGTTCCTGAACAGCTTTCTGGCCTTCTGGGGTGTCTTCCCCGCCGATCAGAACTCTTTCAGCCTCAACAAGATCAACTATAGCGGTTCCCTCTGCTAAAAACTCAGGGTTCGACAGGATCTGGTACTCAACGCCAGGTTTGGTATTGGCACGAAGGATTTTCATAATAATTTCAGCAGCTTTGACTGGAACAGTCGATTTCTCGACGACAATCTTATTGCTGGTGGCCAGATCCGCTATCATGCGGGCTGCACTCTCTATGTACTTCAAGTCTGCAGCTCGCCCTTTCCCGTTACCTATGGTCTTCGTGGGCGTGTTAACGGATATAAATATTAAATCGGCTTCCCGAATGCTTTCGGCGATGTTCGTTGAGAAAAATAAATTTTTACCTCTACATTCGCGGACTACATCGTCTAGGCCAGGCTCGTAAATCGGTAGCTTATCAGAGTTCCATTGCTTTATCCTCTCTTCGCTTTTGTCGCAAACCGTTACCTTAATATTGGGGCATTTCAGTGCTATAACACTGCAGGTTGGACCACCGACGTAACCAGCTCCTAAGCAGCAGATTTTTTGTATCACCATTTCAGGAAACCTTCAGACACAACCGCCACGCTCAAAGCACAACAATAAACGATGGTTTAAACTCGGTATTTTAATCGAAAATAACTTTTTAGTGGTCGTAATAATTAATTACTAATCGGAATGATAATCAGTGTTACTTTTAAATTGATTGTAGATGTCGGCCGATTAGACGGGACATATCGTTGTGCCGTGAGTGGCCGCGGGCTTTTATTAACGGGATTTGAATTTTTTTAGATGAATATTTAGCGAAGTAAAGATTCTTGGATCGTCGCGAGCGGTGTCAATGACATTTGGATGTAGTGCTGTGAATGTAAATAGCCCACTAACGAATTTTAGTTGAAAATTTATAGCGAGAAGCTTATTACGCTATGTAAATTTTCTAGTATGGTACTAGCGAAATGATTGTACTTTGCAACAGTTTTGCAACATTATATTAAGTACATTGTTATTATACTTAAATAATATGTTGTATTGTACTGTTATATTATAATATATAATATCACTCTTTCACATTCTTTAAAGGAAATATGTAAATTGATTTTAGCGCAAATGTTCTATGAGTTAATGAACGATTAATATCATAGCAACGACATGTATTACTGCTATTTTGTCCAGAAGTCAATATCTGTGAATGTCGATAGTGTAAGCTAAACAGTAAGCTTTGCCAGTAAACATGCGACGCGCTGTCTGATGTGGCAGCTTTTTAATTCTGTAAAACCTTGATTTATACACCTCACTATTGTTATTAGCGCCAATAGTGACGTGCAAATGTAGTGCGAAATCTAATTAGATTTTTTCATGTAGATTTTAATCGTAATGGTATTTTAATTGTAAACATTGGAAATCCGTGTAGGAAATATTTGGCTACATTGATAACTGATCGTATCTATACGCGCAAAACAACGTTTAGTACTAAATTGCGAAGTTAATGTATGTAGGTATGTGTTAATGTATGTAAGTGTGAACTAAAGAAGGGGTACAGAGAGAAAATGTTCTTTTTCTCTTTAATTCAACATAGTTCACCAGGTAGAAAAAGCAATAAGGATTAAAATAGAAATATCTCTCTGTATCTTTTTCGGTCCACAATAAAATTGTTGAATTTTTTTCTAGCTTTGCAATGTACACAAATTTCCCGATAAAATGACACTTCTTAATTAAATATAATATTGTTGATTCGAAAAATAGTAGCTTGTTCAAGCTATAGTTAGAAATGTGTATCACCTGAGAAAGCTATCGGTACTTTATTTTAAGTGATTTTATTACGGTTTAAAAATGATTTTACCAGCTAGTAGGGATATTGAAAGCCCGCATGGAAACCACAGTTTGCTGTGATAAAAAAATATAATTATTTTTCATTGAGTCCACATGATTTTTAGTAAGCGAATCGTAAAATGCCGAATTCTCCAAAAAGTGCACATGACAAACTTGACAACGATGATAAGCTATTTCGCCTTGAAAGAAATCGTGTGATTGTGATTAGGGAGTGAACAGTTGCAGCGTAAGAGCAATAGCATCTCATTGTCGGTAATGTGGTACAATATACTTATTATGCGTAAATATGACATGTCATTTATAAATTAATTTTCAGCTTAATCAAAGTAAGTGATTTTTTTTTAATATATATCTCTTGAATATTATCTACATGTGTATCAGCACTACATGTCACCTTGACAATTACGACGCATTTGCGAAGTATGATTCCTGGAAATAGTGACGTGTTTAAGGACAATACAGTTTTTTTTGCCTTGAAAATATGACGCTGTGCATTGTCAGTAACTCGCATCCTAACATCAAAACCGAATCAATTAATACTTAATGTATAAACACGAATCGATTTTTATTGGTTCATTCATCTTCAAGTTCAAAATAAAGAACGAGATACCTGTTGTACAAAAATTCACTACCAACCTCTCTACATACATATAGAGCATTTAAGCACCAAAGCCCTCGAATTTCGGGTTGAACTTTTAATTGTATAAAAGCTGTGGGTATAAACGGAAAGTTCAACTGCTTCCCAGTAGAAATAGTCTGGTGATCTATGCTGTTCCAGACTCGTAATGCTCTTTTGTAATATAACGTGGTTGAATCGTTAATGTCAACGGGAGTTAGTGAAATCAACCTGTTTTTTTTTTTTTTTTTTTTCGTCCGGGGGCCGAACCTCCTACGAGGTCCCCGCGCCTAGGGGACGCGCGGGGTATCTGAGACTCAACGATCTGCAGGTGTTGAGAGCAGATCGCGGGCCCAAGGATTTTAGGGCCCACCCACTAAACGACTCCCCTGCACTCTTACACCCGACGTCCGATCTCCGTCCGGGGTTAGAACCCGTTCAGAGTAGGGGCCTTAACATATCGGGGCAACACTACAACTTACTTAACTAAAATTAGTTAAAGTTAACTGTTTACTGAATGTTAAAATTATTGGTTAACTACAATTACAAGTACACTGCACTTACGCAGTTATTTAAGACTTTATTTGAGGGAATCCATGCACAAACTACTTCCCGCTCTTTTTAAAAGTTCAACGAAAACCAAAATGGCGCCAGTCGCCATATTATTAACTGAAAATTCAGAGGGTAAGTGTATTTGTTCGTATCTTGCATGGTTTTTTTATTGCCCTTGTAGGCAGACGAGCATACGGCCCACATGATGGTGAGTGGTTATCGTCGCCCATGGACTTCAAAAATGTCAGGGGCTGAGCCAAGCCGCTGCCTACCAATTTTTATTTTTTTTCCTAAGCTGAGAGCCTTGAGGGGCTATTTCAGCGTAACCTTAACTAGTAGCTGAGCTCACGGGGCTCAAACCTGACGACGTTGCTAACACTAGTCCTAGCAGGAGCCGTGCTTCGCAGAATCAACCACCGAATCGGAAACACGACCCACTGAGAAGATCCGGCGAGAAACTCAGTGGGCTGTGTCTGTGTTAATTTACTCGTTGAGCCCTTCGTCGCAAGCGACGGGTTCGACGACAACGATAACCGGTGCTTGAGGTACCTAAAAGCACCGTTAGTGGATCGGGAGAATCCGAAATGACGTGTTTTGGGCGACGTCGACTGCTTTCCATTCTGTCCGCAGGATCGGGAATGTAGTTACCGGCGGCCACGATGGAGGGTTCTCGTGTCGTGCCGCTTTATCGAAGTGGCGCTGCCTACCGCTGACTTCGCTGCTTTTGCCAACATAAGATCGAAGAAACTTTGGGTCTTTAAAAATGAAACGTTTAAGTTTAAAATAAATAAATCATTTATTCTTATTTGTTTTTATTTCTTCTCATATAACATGCTGAGCGTCTATTGCTGTGAGAGGAGGCGCCGGACCGCTATACTGATGCACGTGCCGGAGATGTTTGACAGCGTAGTGACGACAGCTGTCAGATTTGACACACGTCATTTAGTATGAAGTCGTCGTGGCCTAAAGGTTAAGACGTACGTTGCATTCGTATTTTGCGATGCACCGGCGTACATACTTAACAAATGTTGAAGATTGACTTCCACGGTGAAGGAGTAGCATCGTGTAATAAAAATCAAACCCGCAAAATTATAATTTGGATTATTAGTGGTGATAGGACTAATATAGGATATAGGATAGGATAAATTGTGGTAAATGCAACCAACTCTACAATGTATTAATCTAAGGATTATAAGTAAATAAAAACACAGTACAAACACGTAATGATATTGCACAAAAATTTTGCAGCTAAGAAAAATGATTTTCGCAAGGTAATAATTGATACAATTAAATATCCATTATTGAGGACAACCACTAAAATAATTTGTGTGATTTCGATAAAAACAGGATCACATACATTGCTTTCAAATTTTAAAAAACTAATAATCGAAATTAAAAGCACTTAAAACAAAAAAAAGTAAAATACATAACCTCACTTTTTTTTAAAGTCTTTTTTAAAAGAATTAATACCCAAACAGCTAAAACGTATACCTGTAGGATCTGGAGCACATGCTGCATTTGTATATGGCGTTGCTGTGGCAGGTCTGTTTGTGCACGTGCAAACTGTTGTTTGATTTGAATGAGGCCGGACACAGTTCGCACTGGACGAGGAGGTGTTATGTGTTAGGAACATTATATTTCACAGATAATCTATATATTAATACGCGAAGGAAAGACTTTGTATGATCGCCAATTTGAAGAAAAAAAAAAAAAAAAAATTATATCCCTTTTTACGAATATTGCGCGGACAGAGGAGTATGAAATTTCCCACACTTATAGAGAATATAGAGAAGGAGTGCAGAATATTAATATTTATTTAAATTATGCCTAAAAAAATCAGTGAAAAAACATTACACACCATGTATTTGACGCACACACGCATGCATGCTATTTATTGTCAAACTTTTGTTCTTGACGTCTGTTGTCAAATTGAGAATAGATTAAATATTGTTTGTCTTTATTCATATTTTTCTATAGTGTAGTCTTGGCGAAATTTGTGATTATAGAAGTATTATAAGATTATATTCTAAGATTATAGAATAGTCTTTGAAAATAGAATCATAATAGTGTACAAATTTACAATTTCAATTCATTAAAGTCGAATTTCGACTACTGCGGGACAACTAGTACACATAATTAGCTACGTTCAGATACAGGTAGGTGAGCTCACGGGCTAAGTCGTCGTGGCTTAAAGGATAAGACGTCCGGTGCATTTCTATCGTAGCGATGCACCGGTGTTCGAATCCCGCAGGCGGGTACCAATTTTTCTAATGAAATACGTACTCAACAAATGTTCACGATTGACTTCCACGGTGAAGGAATAACATCGTGTAATAAAAATGAAACCCGCAAAATTATAATTTGCGTAATCACTGGTGGTAGGACCTCTTGTGGGTCCGCGCGGGTAGGTACCACCGCCCCGCCTAATTCTGTCGTGAAGCAGTAATGCGTTTCGGTTTGAAGGGTGGGGCAGCCGTTGGAACTATACTGAGAGGTTAGAACTTATACCTCAAAGTGGGTGGCGCATTTACGTTGTAGGTTTCTATGGGCTCCAGTAACCACTTAACACCAGGTGGGCTGTGAGTTCGTCCGAACGCCCCTCAGTGGGCCCCGTCGTCGCTCGAACCCTAGCAAGAGCAGTGCGTCGCAGAATCTACCGTCGGATTGGAAACGCGACCCACTGAGAAGATCCGGCGAGAAACTCAGTGGGCCGTGTCTAAGGGTTAATTTACTCGTCGAACCCTTGTGGATCGGGAGGATCCGAAATGACGTCTTTGGGGCGACGTCGACTGCTTTCCATTCTTTCCGAAGGATCGGGAATGTATAGAACTCGCACTAAGTACACTGGTTCACGTTTAACTTGGCTACGAATGTCCGGGGTCGTCGAGTTGGTGCATCGACATACCCTGACCAGCTTCTGGGTCCTGTGTGAGTGCCGGTGCTGGGCCAGGAGGTAGGCCGCGTGGAACTTCGCCCCGCACGCTTCACACACGAACGGCTTCTCCCCGCGATGGCGCCTCTCGTGATTCTGCGAGGGCATCCTTTATAGTGGGCCGTATTGTAAAAAAAGACTTGCATCTGAGTGTTGGGCGACGAAAGTAAAGTATGACAGAGGATTGCATGCGGCAGAGATGCGAATGTTGAGATAGATGTGTGGAGTGACAAGAATGGACAGCTGACGGTTAGCGTGGCATGGACATGTGATGCGTAGAGAAGAGATGCAAGTGACTAGGAGATGTATGGAAATGGTAGTGCAAGGTAGAGGGGGAAGAGGTCGACCGAAGAACACATGGATGGAGTGTGTGAATGACGATATGAGAGAGAGAGAGGAATGAGTGTTGAGATGACGGCTGATAGAAGAGAATGGAATAGAAAAACTAGCTGTGCCGACCCCATCTAGTGGGATAAGGTGGCGAAAAAGAAGATTGTGAAGACGACTTGAGGCAAGTAGCTGGGCCAGAGTGATTACTTACAGCAAAGGACAGAAACAAATGGAAATCTTTAGAGGAGGCCTTTGTCGAAAGACAAGCTGTTACAAGGTGAGATAAGCCGAATGCCGAGAGTATATTTTAGTTAAAATCTAACAGCAACAAAGGCTTAATTGTTTACTATTGTGAATCCGTTAAGGATAGGCACCAACACCCTGTCTATTTCTTTTTAAAGGTTAGGATCGAGGTTGTAAGATACCATTGAAACTACGAGCTCATATCTGGAGGCGATGCCCATGGGTTCCCGTAAACTGTTTAAGCCATCAACGATGTCCCAAAGGATCTTTGAGGATCGTGACCACTGTCACGAAAGCCCATTTTTGTATCTAATGACTACGATGGCATTCATACCCTGTGCAGATACCAAGCTTACTTAGCTGACTCCTGACCGTTCCTAGTGCCTTTGATGCTTTAGAGACCCGTGTGCAGACACCAAGCTTACTTAGCTGGCTCCTGACCGTTCCTAGACCCTTGTGCAGAGACCAAGCATAGCTGGTTCTTGGTATCCCCTAGTGTCGTTGATGCTCCAGAGACCCGTGTGCAGAGACCAAGCATAGCTGGTTCTTGGTAGCCCCTAGTGTCGTTGATGCTCCAGAGACCCGTGTACAGAGACCAAGCATAGCTGGTCGATTTAGTGTCGTTGATGCTCCAGAGACCCGTGTGCAGAGACCAAGCTTACTTAGCTGTCTCCTGACCGTTACTAGACCCGTGTGCAGAGACCAAGCATAGCAGGTCCCTCCTAGTGTCCTTACCTGAAGCGCCAGCACGGAGGCGCTCTGGAACTCGCAGTACCCGCACCGGAACTTCTCGTGGCCGTGCTTGGCGCGGCAGTGCTCGCCCAGACGCGTCTTGTTGCCGAAACGTTTGCCGCAGTGCTGTTCACACAACGCTCAATGCTGTTTCATCTAATTCATATACCTTACGACCGGTGATGGGCAAAGGAAATCCGGCCCGCCGAGGATCCGTCGACATCCAACGAGGGTCAGTTTTTTTTTCTATTGCTGAGATGGGTGGGATCCTTGAGATATGCGTTCTAAGGTCTCAGTATAGTTACAACGGCTGCCCCGCCCTTCAAAGCGAAACTCATTACTGCTTCACGGCAGAAATAGGCAGGGTGGTGGTAACTTTACCGAGACTTAGAACGTGCATCTTAAGGTGGGTGGCAGCATTTACGTTGTAGATGTCTACGGGCTCCGGTAACCACTTAACACCAGGTGGGCTGTGAGCTCGTCCACCCATCTAAGCAATAAAAAAAACGAAGTTGGGAGGGAGGGAGTCATGCGTCTCACTATAAAGTTGAGACTTCCATGTCTTTGAGTGATAATAACATTTGGAAAATTAATACCTATTTGGAGAACATAAAAGTTGGTTATCCATCGCATTCCTGATATATAGTTATTCATTTCAGACTTCACTTATAACTTATAATGGCTGGTTTCAGAGTTCATCCATACTACCTGGAGCCACTGCGGTCATCCACAGTGCGTTTCCAGAGATTTTTCTACCACGTACCATCCGGCTTTGGAATGAGCTCCCCTCCACGGTGTTTCCCGAGCGCTATGACATGTCCTTCTTCAAACGAGGCTTGTGGAGAGTACTTAACGGAGAGCAGCGGATTAGCTCTGCCCCTGGCATTGCTGATGTCTATTGGCGACTGTAACCACTCACCATCCACTGTGTCAATAAACATCCAAGGTAATGGTTTAGCACCATATTTCTGAAGAGTGGTCAGTGTTAATGGGTTCGCTATGACATTGCCTATGTCCAGGTGGTTGACTCACCTCACACACCGGTCCCAGCCCGGCGTGCTTCACGGCCACGTGGAGTTTCAGACTAGCCTTTTGCATTCTTTTCTTGCACACATCACAATCGATCAATTCGCGACTCTGAAATAATGTGATCAACAAAATCTAATATCAACATCAAGCAATAAATTGATTATTACTTGGTCATGTTTGCTTTTTTTTTTGCTTATATGTGTGAACGAGCATAAAAGTTATGCAATAGTTTAAACATTTTTTTTATGATTTATGTATTACTGGAGGCCTTTCCAGTTTCACCAGGACAGGTGGGCGAGCAAAGGCTCAGCCTGGAGGGGTGGGATTTGCTAACAGCTGCCCAAGCGCCTCCAAGGGAGACTTAACAATTCAAGAGTAGCTGCTTCGCGAATGAATCTACTACCGGATCGGAATCCCGACCCGCTGAGAAGACCCGGCGAGAAACTCAGCGGGCTGATGTTTAGGTTAGGTTGCACGTCGACCTCTTTGTCGAGTTCGACGAGGACGGTTACCGGGGTCCTTAAGCCTGCTCCTAGTGTTAGAGCTGAAGGCGTCTAATGCAAGGGTTAGTTGAAATCTCTTGTTAGCTCTGTTTGCGCTTGTGGTGTCAGTTATAAAAGCGTTGTAGAGATGGCACGCAGTCAGTCAGTAATCGGATCAGTAATCGAAGCGAAACAGCGTGCGAGTTTTTTAACGATCTCGATAGCGTAAAAGTTAGCTCATATTTGTGTATGGAATGGGATCGTTTGCCTACGTTTGCCGCTAGGGGCGCTGTTCCAACTGCATACAGAATTGGGCTAACTTTCACGCTATCGAGAACGTTAAAAAACTCGCATTAAGCACACGAATCACCTGAAGCGAAGCGGAAGAAGCGAATTGAGAATTTTAAAGTGTTTGTGAAGTGGAAGCGGAAGAAGCGAATTGGGAATTTTAAAGTGTTTGTGAAGTGGAAGCGGAAGAAGCGAATTGGGAATTTTAAAGTGTTTGTGAAGTGGAAGCGGAAGAAGCGAATTGGGAATTTTAAAGTGTTTGTGAAGTGGAGGCGGAAGAAGCGAATTGGGAATTTTAAAGTGTTTGTGAAGTGGAGGCGGAAGAAGCGAATTGGGAATTTTAAAGTGTTTGTGAAGTGGAAGCGGAAGAAGCGAATTGGGAATTTTAAAGTGTTTGTGAAGTGGAAGCGGAAGAAGCGAATTGGGAATTTTAAAGTGTTTGTGAAGTGGAGGCGGAAGAAGCGAATTGGGAATTTTAAAGTGTTTGTGAAGTGGAGGCGGAAGAAGCGAATTGGGAATTTTAAAGTGTTTGTGAAGTATTTTAAGTGTTGAATGCAGTTTTCAAGTTGTACTTTGGTGGAACATTTATTTATCCCGAACTCCAGCGCGTAATAATAAGTTTAGATATTACATTCAAAATCTTTTCAAAAAGAGATGAATACTCACAGAATCAGATACTTTTCGTTTTTTCTTTTTGGCCATACACGTGATTGCGTGCTCAACTAGTGTATTTTTATCCACGAAATCTGATTTACAATACTGCAAACAAAATGTATGTTCTATACTCGTGAAAAAACAGTAATTTTAGATATAAATGCCGGAGGTTTTTTTTAATTTATAATAAATATTTACTAACAATCACACCACGTCAACTGGTCCCATGCTAAGTTCTTTTTAGTACGCTTTTATTAGCTTCAGACGTATGTAACGTCTGAAGCTAATCTGTTAGTATGTAACGGAATTTTTGAACATGATTTTGACCCTCTTCAAAACGTCTGATTAAAGCCTTCGTCAAAGCGCTAAACTAACGCCGCGCTATGACGCCGAGATGTGATGTACTACTGTGGTAACATACTGTCACACAGAGCGCCAGGGCTATAAGTACGCAGTGCTATGTCGCGGCGTTAGGACGCTTTGACGTCAGGCGTTGTAATTTTTTACAAATTTTATTTTAACGTCCGAGTGAATGTGTATTAAAATACTAGATAATGCCCGAAAAAATGATATAAATAGTTAGAAAATACCCATGCTTATACAATGCCACATCTGAATCACTCGATTTCTTAATACTTTTAAATTTTCACACTGCTATCGAAAGGCACTATGATTTGGCGAATGCGTTGCGTCAAGGAGCGTTAGACTCATCTACGCGACGTTAAGTACGCGGCGCTAAGTACGCGTTCTGTTTGACGAAGCCTTTAACTCGAAATTTGGTATACTTAATAAGGAGCGATGACAGATCAATATTAAAAAAAAAAAAAAATTAAATTAAGCTAAAAATTGAAAAATAAATAATAGTTTAAAATCCTAACTATCGAAATACGCTTTTATAGAAAATCCAGCTAAAAAATAGAAAATAAATTTTAATAAATTTGAATTAAAAATAGTGTAAGAAAAAATATTTTATTGTAAAAAAAAGCGTGGGGTGCTTGGTGTCAGTAGTTATAAATATTTTATGAACAGATATGAGTAGAAGGGTTATTTTGATAATATCCTGAAAAGCAGTTTTTATTGCTTAAATGGGAGGACGAGCTCACAGCCCAAATGGTGTTAAGTACTGGAGCCCATAGACATCTACAACGTAAATGCACCACCCACCTTGAGATATAAGTTCTAAGGTCTCAGTATAGTTACAACGGCTGCCCCGCACTTCAAGCCGAAACGCATTACTGTTTCACGGCAGAAATAGGCAGGGCGGTGGTACCTACCCGTTCGTAAAGAACTTGTGTTACAGGTACCAGATAACGGAAATAAATGTAAGATTTTTATTATACACATACATAATATACATCCATAACCCTGGAAAATACATTTTGATATTTATCATACAAATATCTTCACTTGGCGGGATTCGAACCCGCGACCCCCTTGTGTAGTAACCATGTCACTTACCACTACACCAGACGGCCGTTATTTAATTGATAATAATACCAGTTCAGCATTTATTATACTACACATAATTAAATTTTTTTAAGGTATCAAATTTTGATGAAGAGTAAATGTAGATAGTAACTTGTTTTTTTTTCTATTCTATCAGCCCACAGATGTCCACAACTGGACATAGATCTCTGCCAAGACTCGCCAACAATATCGGTCCTGCACTGCTTGCATCCAGCGGATCTCAGCAAACCTCAACAGGTTATCGGTCCATCTTGTGTGAGCCCTACCCTACCTACCTACTTACTACGCCTTCATTAGTATTGTTGATTTCTGTAAGTTCAAGGTGGGTGGCGTATTTACGTTGTAGATATCTATGGGCTCCAGTAAACACTTAACATCAGGTGAGCTGTGACCTATCAAAGCAATAAAAAAAATGTGGTCCTCAATTCACAAAACTCACCCCGCATTTAAAGCATTCTCCGTGCACCAGTTTCCTGTGTCTGTTCATTTTAGCCTTCAAGATGTACGCATCACAGAGATCGCATTTTATCTTCCTCCGGTCCGCGCCGGGGTGTCTCCTAGCCATATGGGCATCGACACTGCGAATGGACAGGTCCTTCTGACACAGCTTGCAGGTGACACGGTTATTAACATCATTCGCTTTGAAAAGTTCATCGGAGCTCTCAAAACTTGCATTTGGTTTATTTGTTCCTAAGATGTGTTCTGCGGTTTCTGAAATTTTTTACTATTCAGAATTCAAAGGGGCAGGCAGTTGTATAATAATATTCAGAAGCTGAATATGAATGTTTAAGTTCACATTTTGTGAACACACAATCATGGTTGTTTAGATGGGTGGACAAGCTCATGGCCCCCGTGATGTTAAGCAGTTATCGAAGCGTTTACAACATAAATGCCGCCACCCACCCGAGATATGAGTTCCAAGATCTCAGTATAATTAGAACGCCTGCCCCACCCCCAAACCGAAATGCACAACTGCTTCACACCAGAAATAGGCAGGTTGGTGGTACCTACCTGTGCGAATTCACAAGAGGTCCTACCACCGGTAAACCACCCGGATTTTTAACGAGGTCACAGCCGACACAATATAAAGTGGATTCCAGATCTCATAGAGATAGCATTGAGGATACCACCCTGAAACTTGAAGTAAAATTCTTAATTGCAAAAAGGAGGTTGTAATGTCACCACTTCAAGTTGGGCAGTGAGCATGTTCATTGTTGATCTTACCAAAAGTATTTGTTATGGAATTTTCAGAGTCTAAGCTGTTGTTTATTTCATCATTTTCCATTAAACATTCTAGAATCTTTTCTTCTTTTTTTGTAACACAATCATTGTCTGTTTGTATGATAGTTTTATAACCATATGTGTTCTCTGATGTATCATTCAGTTTCGCCTATAAAACAATACAAAAAGAAAGCTTCTGTAGTCTTATAAATATAGTTTAAGTCTGTTATTATTGTATACCTTTAATTTTAAAATTTATATGGATATCTGTTGTGTGTAAGATAACACGTTAGACCTTCATCTGTGAAGTTTGGTAATGGTCAGACAGAAGTAAATAATCAGCAAAGAGGGCGGGGTTGGTCTATTATCACATAATAAAAATGAGTGATTGATCAATTTGTGTTTTTTTTTTCTATTTCAACACCAAATTAAGTTCCATACCTGTTCAGAATCATTCGCAAAGTGTAACTCAGACTTTTGAAGTTTATTTTTTAATTGTATGAGTTGATATTCGACGATTTTGCACGCTTCCCTAAATTTAAGTATACCATTAATTTTTGTGAAACATTCCTCACATATGTTCTGGGGTAGCCCATCATTTCTTTCTACCTGTTAAATATACGGAGTTTAATTATTTTTGATACAGGTAAACTTAAACAGAACACTGGATTATCTAAAATTTGTTAAAATTTGCAATATAAAAATCGATAATTTACGATATTTTTTTTTAATACATAAAACATGTTAAAAATAAAATATTTTATTTCTATTGCCTTCTATACATACCTTAATCCCTGTAATTATATAAACTGTTGTAGAATAATCAATTTGATCAAAAGAATTTTCAAAGATAGGCGTCAAATTCTCTGTACTAAGACACATGCGACATACAGTAGAAAAATCCATTACTTCGTATTTTTTTCAGTGAACGATTTATATGAAATTTTTGGAAAATATTTGGGGATATCTAAATGTTTGTTCTCTGAAGTTACTCTTTATTAAAATTCTATTAAATTGCGTAAAAATAATAAAACTTTTCATTCATAATATTTACTATTCTTATTGGAATTGGGCTCGAAATTCGAATTAGACTTGATTAGTTTCGAAAGAAATATCGATGTTTGTAGGTTGATCTATCGATACTTTTGAGCGATGCATAATATTGAATATTTCGATTTTTCGATGAACAGACATAATTTTAAATTTGACCTTGATATTATAGGATTTTTATTATTTATCAATATTAAAAAAAGATGTGTTTTAATAAATACCAGCTTGAGTGAATTGTTTAAAATAATCAAGATTGATCTTGAATATACGATACGGAAAAGTAATTGAGGTGATTAATTATATATTTTTTAAATTGTAATTAAATTTATAAGCCACAACATTTAAAGTGGAAATGGTAGGTGTCTACATAGATAAAAGTTAAGAAGTATTACGGAAAACAATTTAAAATCTAATACTGTTCCTGATTGGTATCTTCTATTTGTTATTTTAGAGTTATAATTAAGCTAAAGAACCTTTAATAAAGAGAAAAATTGAAAGAATTTGTTTACGCAACAATAAGATTCTTTTATTGAAAATAGCATCGATTGTTACACAGGAATCGAAACCCAATTCTATCGATTCTTTTTAACGCTTCGGATGTCCCTAGCTTCAATTTGATGGTTCATTTTAAATGACGTAACCTTAACGTTTATGAGACCTCTTAAACTCAAAACTATTAAGACCATTGGCAAAATTAATCAATAATCGATTAATAACTTATTTATTACAATTTTTATTTATTTAATTATTAGCGCAATCGTATTAAGCTAAGTTTACATAAAGTTCTATTTCAATGAATCGCTTTTTAAGCCTGTAACTTCGATTTCTGAATTTTGTTGTTAATTTTTCTACATACATCTCTAAAGCTTGCAATGTGGAGGAAATGAAGGATAAAAGTTAAATAGAATAGATTTTTTTATTGACCGATACTGGGTTTTTTTAAACTAGAACAAATCTACTAGCTTATATATTGTGTTTGTAGTATTTAGTCAATTTTAAAGTATCTTTATAAATTTGTTGCTATGACAACAAGCTAAACAGCTCAAAACAATTGAGAATTTTTCACTAAAGTTTCTAAGACAATAATAAAGTTTTTTGTGACACATTCGTCTTAAAAATGTGGAATTTGAGTGGATATGATAGCGAAGCGGTTGGTTTCGATTCTGTGGCTGTTAAAAAAACCGAAGACGCGAGCACCGGCACTCAAACTACAGAATTCTTTGAAGCGGCCGTCGCAACTCAAACTGTTGCTTACAAAGACGGTTCATCGATGACCTCTCCTACAGAGGATTTGACGACAAAAGACGTAAAATATTCGGCAGCCAATTTAAATGCGTTCCTCCAAAGAGTGATGCCGGGTATGCTTGAGCAGCTAGACGATAACAAAGAAAACGCATACGAGTCTTCGGAATCTGATGAAGACAATGAAATTTTGACAGCTAAATTGGTACAAGAGTTGAAGGTACGAGAAGTGCAAGGCAGCGGTGATCAGGCACTGTCTGTACTAGACCTATCTTGGAGTAATACCGGCAACTCATTAGCTGTGTCTCTAGGACAGAAGCAGCACGAGAATTGGTGCACAGATAACGGTTTAATAAGGTTCTATACGGTCAAAGTCAGTGCCGGCGACAAATTAGTGCACAGCATGGATATCAACGAGAAAAACTGTGTTTCAGTATTGAAATATCATCCGTCGGTCGCGGCTCTGTTCGCCTACGGGACCGTTACGGGCGAGATTGTGATCTGCGACCTTAGAAATAAGGATGAACTTCAAATGACGTCGCCGTCTGGTACGCACGGTTCGAAAAGGGTCACGGCGCTTTCTTGGCTGGAGTCCACAACCGCTGAAACGTTTTTTGCGATCCACATCAACAATACAGGCAAGCGAAGGGCCTCGACCGATCGTATACTAGTTTCATCCGGTAGCGACGGAACAATCGTCGCATGGCACGTCAACGCTGACAACAAAACGTTTGAAGCCATTGTAACCTACTCCGTGAACGGCGCCCGCAAGATGGCCGCCCCGGATATCAGCTGTTTTGATTTCATCAACACGTTTCCGCTACGTCCGACGGGCGATAAAATTTCGAACGACATTTTCGTGGTCGGCACGAATGTCGGTAATTTATTTTTGTGTAACATAAAGAATGCTCAGAGCGCAGCGCATAGCGGCCACGTTGATCCGGTCAGCGATGTTCTAGAAAGCCACGCGACCTGCATTTTGGCTGTTACGTTTCACCAAGATAAGCCTGGCGTTTTTATAACACTGTCCATTGATTCCGAATTGAGGATATATAATGTTAAACAGGCCAGTCCCTTGAAGGTAATTTTGCAGTAATTTCTTTTTGAGACGCGTTCTCAATATTGGAATTCAATAAAACGGTTCCTCGTTTGATGATTCTTGGTCGGTGTGTTGTATGCGTGGCGATTATGTTTGTGAGGGTGGTTGGAAAAATTCATTCTAAAGATGGCTTACGTAGAATTCTCAGGGGACACATCGTTAAAGGAGTATTTGTGACAAATTTAACACCTTTACTGCGGAATAGGCCTATATGGGGTCGCCATGGTACTTTTAACTAGAGCGGATAAAGAAAGTTATGACCCACTCGCTGGTACGGCCCGATTATCGTGTTATAAAAATCAAACCCGCAAAATTATAATTTTCGTAATTACTGGTGGTAGGACCTCTTGTGAATCCGCGCGGGTAGGTACCGCCGCCCTGCCTATTTTTGCCGTGAAGCAGTAATGCGTATCGGTTTGCAGCCGTTGTAACTATACTTGAGACCTTAGAACTTATATCTCAAGGTGGGTGGAGCATTTACGTGGTAGATGTCTATGGGCTCCAGTAACTACTTAACACCATGTGGGCTGTGAGCTCGTCCACCCATCTAAGCAATAAAAAAAAAACACTGAGACGGTATTCCTTACTTATACCCTCCATGCGCAGATTATATCTCTGGATTATCATGTGTCGTGTGTCGGCTGGCTCCCGTACAATCCCTGGCTGGCCGTGGTTGGCACGGAAGCAGAGATGCGCCTGTGTGACGTTGCTTGCGGGAGGGAAGTGCACGTCGATGGGCTCAAAGGAACGGGCGGCGTTTGTAAGCTGGCCGTGAATCAAATCGGGTGAGTTTTTATTGGCTCAAAAGACGTAAGGTTTTATTACTGGCGGTAGGACCTCTTGTGAGTCCGCACGGGTAGGTACCACCACCCCGCCTATTTCTGAAACAGTAATGCGTTTCGGTTTGAAGGGTTGGGCAGTTGTTGTAACTATACTTGAGACCTTAGAACTTATAACTCAAGGTGGGTGGCGCATTTACGTTGTAGATGTCTATGGGTTCCAGTAACCACACCAGGTGGGCTGTGAGCTCGTCCGCCCAATAAAAGCAATAAAAAAAAAGTAACGGTGCTTAGGACTTTTGGGTGTTGTTGTCTTTGCTATTTTAGTGTAGGTTCAAGCCTCAATAGTGGATTATTAGTGTCTTTGAAAGTGCTCAATCTTTTTTGCCACGTACCGTCTGGCTTTGGAATGAGCTCCCCTCCACGGTGTTTCCCGAGCGCTGTGACATGTCCTTCTTCAAACGAGGCTTGCCGAGAGTACTTAACGATAGGCAGCGGCTTGGGTCTGACCCTGGCATTGCTGAAGTCCATGGGCGACGGAAGCCACACACCGTCACACACAAGGGCAATAAAACAATATAAAAATAAATGTTGGGGTAGATGAACGTAAGCACTAAGCACTCGGGTTCCCAAAAAAAGTCCACTGAATTCTCTGTAAATAATCACAATTTTATTAACACGTTATTCTATTCCAATCGATTAAATCCTCGAATAAATTAACCTCATTTCATTTCGCTGCCATTTTTCATACAATAGAGCGGCCATTTAATAATTGAAGTTTTTTTATAAACTGGCAACAACAGAATCGCACGAAGGCAATTTTTTTATGAATTTTATGACCTGGTAATTAAGACCAATAGGTCATGTCTTACTTTCATTTATATTCTTATTTTTATGAAAAATGATAACATGGAGTGAAATGAAATGAGATGAAATGAAATGAAATGCAAGATGATTAATTTGAGACATTAATCAACTGGGATGAAATTAAATGAAATGAAATGGGATGATATGGGATGAAATATCTTGATTTTTTCATTGGACTTTTTGTAGGATCCCGAGAAGTTGCGTCCAGCGGCTTTGTTTCATTTTCCCACATTTGTGCACTATCACAGCTGATACTAAACAGTTAATAAACCACCGTTATTACACATTTAAACCCGAAGAAACACTAAATTGACAAAATAAAACAAATCACACAACCTCACTCCTCGCGTTCCCGCCAAAAAGTCGCTTGAAGTCAATTGCCATACTAAAAAGTAAGAGCAAAATAAAGGCTGTGTTTCCCATATTGAGTCAAGGGTTCACGTCATGAGTGCCTTGTGTATGTATAGTAAGATCGCACGCGTTCCTTCTTCCCTGTATATTTTTTTTATATATATTTTATTGCTTAGATGGGTGGATGAGCTCACAGCCCACCTGGTGTTAATTGGTTACTGGAGCCCATGGACATCTACAACGTAAACACGCCACCCAACATGAGATATAAGTTCTAAGATCTCAGTATAGTTACAACGGCTGCCCCACCCTTCAAACCGAAACGCATTACTGCTTCACGGCAGAAATAGGCGGGGCGGTGTACCTACCCGCGCGGACTCCTGGAGGTCCTACCACTAGTAAAAAAAGATATTTTTTGTAAACAAACAGATGAACTTGAGAACAAAGAGACTTGTTTGCTATCTGAGATTCAATCAAAACAGTTATTAAAAGCTTATTAACTTCACACGTCAGATTATCTATAATGATAATGATTTATGTATAGTAATGTCTAATCTATGGTCGATAACTCGAAATTATCACATTATCGAAAACAATGCAAGTATATTAATTAGTACTTTGATTCTTTTAGTTTTGAAGTACCTTATAAAAAATAAAAAACTTCAGAGGTGTCAAGGGACACCCGGATGGAACGAAGTTCCTTTCGATTAATTATTGAAGGAATTGTAATTTTTTTTTTAAGTTATAATAATAAATTACGGCATTATGAAGAAGAAAAAAACAATACCATGAACTAAATTACTATTGTTGAAACGCTATCTCGAGAAACTGTACTCAGTTGAAGTCGTCGTGGCCTAACGGATAAGACGTCCGGTGCATTCGTGTTGAGCGATGCACCGATGTTCGAATCCCGCAGGCGGGTACCAATTTTTCTAATGAAATAAGTACTCAACAAATGTTCACGATTGACTTCCACGGTGAAGGAATAGCATCGTGTAATAAAAATGAAACCCGCAAAATTATAATTTGCGTAATTACTGGTGGTAGGACCTCTTGTGAGTCCGGGCGGGTGGGTACCACCGCCCTGCCTATTTCTGCCGTGAAGCAGTAATGCGTTTCGGTTTGAAGGGTGGGGCAGCCGTTGTAACTATACGTGAGACCTAAGAACTTATATCTCATGGTGTGTGGCGCATTTACGTTGTAGATATCTATGGGCTCCAGTAACCACTTAACACCAGGTGGGCTGTGAGCTCGTCCACCCATCTAAGCAATAAAAAATAAAAAAATAAATCATTACGCGGACCAATCGGATACGAGCAATGTCACGCGATAAGCGCCTACACGTTGATTGGTCAGAATGACAGATCTAAAAAGTGTCGTGACAACTTTTCGTAAGAATTTTTTCCGTCTAGCCCCCTTTCACAACGCGCGATAAGGAACTTCGTTCCAATAATTAAAAAAAATATGTTTATTTAGGTATAAATGTTATTAACGTATTAAAAAACGTTATACGTCCGCGCGCTAAGACACGTCCGTATAAGTCGATACCTAATACTTATAACCAAACTGCGCAATAGTCGGTATTTCGATCGTCCGCATTTTATACGCATTAATAGCGAGTCGATCTATCGAGGTGCGCACCCAAAGGGCTAAAACATGTCTGTGATGTTTTTGTTTAGCGAATTTAGTTTTTTTTTTTTTTTAACGAACTAATCTTATCTGTCGGTGACGACCATAGACTACGACCGTAAATCATATTCCGAATGTACATTGGGAGTTTGTTTTTGTTGAAGGGGTTGCAGGGTGGCGGCGGGTGACTCGGAAGGCTGCGTGAAGATCTGGGATCTACCGCGTTGCTCACACACTCCCGGAGACGATTTAGACATTTAATTATTAGGATAATACTAGAGCTTAGTGCGCTTAGTGCGAGTTATTTAACGTTCTCGATAGCGTAAAAGTTAACTACTACGTTTTCGCCTACGTTTGCCGCTAGGGGCGCTGTTCCAACAACTCTATACAAATTTGAGTTAACTTTCACTCTCACTAACAGCTCTCACTAAGCACACTGGTTAAATTGATTTTAGAATCGAAGGCTGATTGTTTTTTTTTTTAAATAGGTACCTAGTTTTGATTTTCGGTTTGTTTTCCCTAATAAACGCCTATCTATGGATGGACATAGATAATCTGTGTAGGAAATATGAGTTTTTAAGGAGTTTTTTATTCGAATAGGGTACATATGTTTATTTAGAATATAGTTTGATGGTTTTTTTGTTTACGTAATTTAAATAAATGATTGTTTTCTGTTTTATTATACGTGTAATCTTGTCTATGGATGGCTGTTGACAGTTGAGAATTATAGTTATTTTTAAGGTATAAGGTCTTTTTTTTTCATTAGTTGTTTATACATGGGGAGATAGCTAAAGCCTGCTCTGAGATTGGAAGTCCACCCAAATGATCTTTCTAAACATCTAATGGACAAGATGTACTGAAGCCCATAGACATCTACAACGTAAATGCGCCACCCACCTTGAGATATGAGTTCTAAGGTCTCAAGTATAGTTAAAACGGCTGCCCCACCCTTCAAACCGAAACGCATTACTGCTTCACGGCAGAAATAGGCAAGGTGGTGGTACCTACCCGTGCGGACTCACAAGAGGTCCTACCACCAGTTGATGACTATGGGCTTCGGTGATCACTTAACATCAGAAATGGGCCGTGACCTCAGCTATTCATACAAGCAATAAAAGTAAATCCATTATAATTTTTAATTAAAACAATTTTTGTCATTAAATCATTTATTTTTCATCTTTGGCTTTCTTTATAGCTACGATAGATTACTGTCAACACATAAAATTATCTACTTATCGAGGGGTGAATGGCAATAAGCGACATTCCGCTTAACACGCGACATTTGGGATGTTTCCCGAGCGCTATGACATGTCCTTCTTCAAACGAGGCTTGTGGAGAGTGCTTAACGGTAGGCAGCGGTTTGGCTCTGCCCCTGGCATTGCTGAAGACCATGGGCGACGGTAACCACCATCAGGCGGGCCGTATTTTCGTCTGCCTATAAGGGCAATAAAAATTAAAAAGAAAATTAACTTTTGTAATTAAAGGTCCGTTTTTTTTGGTAATAGGATCAACAGTTCGATGTTTTTAATTGAACTTCAATTACATAAGTTTACCGTATTCAAATAAGTAGTTGCAGAAGTTATTTTGTTATGATATTTTTTCAAAATGTTTAAACTTTAAATGGCTCTCATGTAAATTTGTAAAAATGTCGCTTATATCAAATGACCTTTCACCCCTCGATATGAACATGAATCAATTTTAAACGTAATTAACATAATGTATTTATAAATACACGTATCTGTTACAATTATTCTTATTCAAAGTGGAAATTTAATTGATATCTGTAACTTAACAAAAAAATCAGCAAATCTTACTAAAACAAAACGAGAAAGAATATTTATTAATGGCGAAGTCGAAGATAATTGAATGTGAATGTGTAAAGGTAACTCAAAAACTATTGGCTGGATCTTGGTAGCATCAGTCTCAATAAAAAAGCAAACAAAAAAGGTTCACCTAGAAAAAAGTTCTGAAACATATTAAAAAAAAATCGAATCGAGATCTTCCTCCTTTTTTAAGGTGGACTAAAATATATATCTGCTCTACCAAGATATGCCGCCTATGATGAAAATATATACTTTAATCATAAATCTGTTTTCCATAAATAATCGATTTGAAATGCCTTTTTGAATAACTCAGTGTTAACGAACCAACGTCGCGTCATACATTCATGGCTGTGATTGGCCAACGATGACGTCATATCGCACGAACCAATCACAAATCAGGAAACGCAACAGAGGCACCAATTGTCAAAATTAAAAAATTATTACACGAAGAAAAAAGATGGACGCGCATGCCAGTTCTATTTTGTAAAATAATTAAAAATAATATAATGAGTATTTGAAGAAGTTAAACGCATTTATTCATTTTCTTGGCCACTTCAAGATACCTTTATAGGTACTTATGAAATAGACGCAGCACTCAGCTCGACCGTGTGGGTTAGATACCGGTAAAATGGGGCGATTAGGGATTGAAAGGCGAATCGGGAAAAAACCGGGAAAATCTTTCGACGCTCAATATAAGTTTTATATTCGTTGCAAAATATTCCATTTTTTTGGAGTTTAATAGTAGAATGTTGAAAGTTCACAAAACAACTCTGAATATGCATGATAATAGCTGCTAACTTATAAAAAATCGCGTTTCAAATTAACTTCCTGTGGTGGTAATTATTGTAGTGCTAGAAACTTTGCTCTCTTTTATTTATTTGATAATAATAGAAGACGACTATGATTTATAAACGTTATTTAGTGTTTGAACCANGAGTGTCAATCAATTAACTCAATTCATATCATGTGCCTATGCCCTGTGCTATGCCTATGCCTATGCCCATGTGCCTATGCCATTCTGGAGGATTTTTGAACCGTTATTTAGTGCTGAAAGTGGGACACTTTCAAGCTTCTCCCATATGAGACGGATCTCCTTACCTCTACCCTCCATAATCATATTTCATACAACACAGCGGCCATTTAATATTTGATGTTTTATATAAACTGGCAACAATGGAATCGCATGAAATCAATTTCCATACTAAAAAGTAGGAGAAAAATAAAGGTTGCAATTATTTTTTTCCTCCCTATGCTGATAGCCTTGAGAGGCTATTTCAGCTTCTCCTTGACGTGTAGGTGAGCTCACGGGGAGCAAACCGGAGCGTTGCTAACACTGGCCCTAGCAAGAGCCTTGCTTCGCTGAATCTACTACCGGATCAGAAACGCGACCCACTGAGAAGATGCGGCGAGAAACTCAGTGGGCGAAAGGGTGCGTTTCCCATATTGAGTCAAGGGTTCACGTCACGAGTGTCTTGTGTTTGTATTGTAACCTCTCACGCGTTCCTTGTCCCCTATTTCTGCCGCAAAAGATATTTTTTGTAAACAAACAGAGGGACTTGAGAACAAAGAGACTTGTTTGCTATCTGAGATTCAATCAAAACAGTAATTAAAAGCTTAATAACTTTACACGTCAGATTATCTATAACGATAATGATTTATGTATAGTAATGTCTAATCTATGGTCGATAACTCGAAATTATCACATTATCGAAAACAATGCAAGTATATTATTTAGTACGTTGATTCTTTTAGTTTAGAAGTACTTTATAAAAAAAAATATATATATATATGTTTATTTAGGTATAAATGTTATTAACTTATTAAAAAACGTTATACGTCCGCGCGCTTTTTTTTTTTTCCTACCTAAGCTGGTAGCCTTGAGAGGCTATTCCAGTGTAACTTTAACTAGTAGGTGAGCTCACGGGGCTCAAACCTGATGACGTTGCTAACACGAACCCTAGCAAGAGCCGTGCTTCGCAGAATCTACCACCGGATCGGAAACGCGACCCACTGAGAAGATCCGGCGAGAAACTCAGTGGGCTGTGTCTGAGAGTTAATTTACTCGTCGAGCCCCTCGTCGCAAGCGACGGGTTCGACGAGAACGGTGACCGGTGCTTGAAGTACCTAAAAGCACCGTTAGTGGATCGGGAGGATCCGAGATGACGTGTTATGGGTGACGTCGACTGCTTACCATTCTTTCCGCAGGATCGGGAATGTAGTTACCGGCGGCCACGATGAGAGGGTTCTCGTGTCGTGCCGCTTCATCGAAGTGGGGTCCGCGCGCTAAGACACGTCCGTATAAGTCGATACCTAGTACTTATAACCAAACTGCGCAATAGTCGGTATTCCGATCGTCCGGATTTTATACGATGAATAGGGTCGCATTAATAGTCGATCTATCGACGGTGCGCACTCAAAGCGCTAAAACATGTCTGTGATGTTTTTGTTTAGCGAATTTAGTTTTTTTTTTTAACGAACTAATCTTATCTGTCGGTGACGACCATAGACTACGACCGTAGATCATAGATGATATCCCGAATGTACATTGGGAGTTTGTTTTTGTTGAAGGGGTTGCAGGGTGGCGGCGGGTGACTCGGAAGGCTGCGTGAAGATCTGGGATCTACCGCGTTGCTCACATACTCTCGGGGACGATTTAGACATTTAATTATTAGAATAATACTAGAACTTAGTGCGCTTAGTGCGAGTTATTTAACGTTCTCGATAGCGTAAAAGTTAACTACTACGTTTTTGCCTACGTTTGCCGCTAGGGGCGCTGTTGCAACTCTATACAAATTTGAGTTAACTTTAACTCTCACTAACAGCTCTCACTAAGCACACTGGTTAAATTGATTTTAGAATCGAAGGCTGATTGTTTTTTTTTTTTAAATAGGTACCTAGTTTTGATTTTCGGTTTGTTTTCCCTAATAAACGCCTATCTATGGATGGACATAGATAATCTGTGTAGGAAATATGAGTTTTTAAGGAGTTTTTTATTCGAATAGGGTACATATGTTTATTTAGAATATAGTTTGATGGTTTTTTTGTTTATGTAATTTAAATAAATGATTGTTTTCTGTTTTATTATACGTGTAATCTTGTCTATGGATGGCTGTTGACAGTTGAGAAATATAGTTATTTTTAAGGTAAAAGGTCTTTTTTTTCATTAGTTGTTTAAACTTATAGAGATAGCTAAAGCCTGCTCTGAGAGATTGGAAGTCCACCCAAATGATCTTTCTAAACATCTAATGGACAAGATATACTGAAGCCCATAGACATCTACAACGTAAATGCGCCGCCCACGTTGAGATATAAGTTCTAAGGCCTCAACGGCTGCCTCACCCTTCAAACCGAAACGCACTACTGCTTCACGGCAGAAATAGGGTGGTGGTACCTACCCGTGCGGACTCACAAGAGGTCCTACCACCAGTTGATGACTATGGGCTTCGGTGATCACTTATCAGAAATGGGCCGTGACATCAGCTATTCATACAAGCAATAAAAGTAAATCCATTATATTTTTTTAATTAAATAAAACAATTTTGGTCTTTAAATCATTTATTTTTCATCTTTGGCTTTCTTTATAGCTACGATAGATTACTGTCAACACGTAAAATTATCTACTTATCGAGGGGTGAATGGCAATAAGCGACATTCCGCTCAACACGCGAAATTTGCAGTGTTTCCCGAGCGCTATGACATGTCCTTCTTCAAACGAGGCTTGTGGAGAGTGCTTAACGGTAGGCAGCGGCTTGGCTCTGCCCCTGGCATTGCTGAAGTCCATGGGCGACGGTAACCACCATCAGGCGGGCCGTATTTTCGTCTGCCTATAAGGGCAATAAAAATTAATTTTTGTAATTAAAAGTCCATTTTATTTGGTACTACCTGACCCGGCAGACTTCGTAGTGCCTCAATCGATAAATAAAAGACCTAAACTTTTGTATAAAACAAACTTAAAACAAACAAAAGGCATCCGTCCGACGGGGGACTCATCAAAAGAAAAACAAAATTGTTATTTTTATTTAATTCCGAGCATTTTCATATTTATCTACCTTTTATGCCTTCTCTGAACTTCCACAAATAATTCAAGACCAAAATTAGCCAAATCGGTCCAGCCGTTCTCGAGTTTTAGCGAGACTAACGAACAGCAATTAATTTTTATATATATAGATTAGGATCAACAGTTCGATGTTTTTAATTGAACTTCAATTAAGTTTACCGTATTCAAATAAGTAGTTGTAGAAGTTATTTTGATATGATTTTTTTTCAAAATGTTTGAACTTTAAATGGCTGTCCTGTAAATTTGTAAAAATGTCGCTTAAATCAAATGACTTTTCACCCCTCGATATGAACATGAATCAATTTTAAAGTTTATTATTATATGTATTTATAAATACACGTATAATTACAATTTTTGGAAATTTAATTAACTGATATCTAAAACTTAAAAAAAAAAACAGGAAAATTTACTAAAACAAAATGAGAAAGAATATTTATTAATGGCGAAGTCGAAGATAATTGAATGTGAATGTGTAAAGGTAACTCAAAAACTATTGGCTGGATCTTGGTAGCATCAGTCTCAATAAAACATTAAACATAAAAAAAAGGTTCACCTACAAAAAGTTATGAGGTAACATATTTAAAAAAAAATCGAATTGAGATCTTCCTCCTTTTTAAGGCCAGGTAAAATTTGCTCTACCAAGATATGCCGCCTATGATGAAAATATATATTTTAAACATAAATTTATTTTTCTATATAATATACATATAATTTATTTGAAATGCCTTTTGAAATAACTCAGTGTTAACGAATCAACGTCGCGTCATACATTGATGGCGGTGATTGGCCAACGATGACGTCATATCGCACGAACCAATCACAAATCAGGAAACGCAATAGTGGCACCAATTGTCAAAATAAAAAAAAAATATATATTACACGAAGAAAAAAGATGGACGCGCATGTCAATTCTATTTTGTAAAATAATTAAAAATAATGTAATGAGTATTTGAAGAAGTTAAACGCATTTATTCATTTTCTTGGCCACCTCAAGGTACCTATAAGAAATAGACGTAACACTCAGCTCGACCGTGTGGGATAGATACTACATTCAACATATATATCAAATCCATAATCCAATTTAAAGAGGGTAGAAATAAGTAGAATCATCTCAGTGTATTAAAAAGTATCTGCTGAAAGAAAGCCATGTAAGATGGCGCCACTATAGCAAGTGGAGGATTCTAAAAATAGCGCCACCATCTACAATACTACGTTTTAATTCAGCCTACTTCGCTCTGTTTAAGACTGCTATATTCATATCGTTTCCACTTCCACTGGAGGTAGGAGCTCTTGTGAGTCCGCGCGGGTAGGTACCACCGCCTTACCTATTTCTGCCGTGAAGCAGTAATGCGTTTCGGTTTGAAGAGTGGGGCAGCCGTTGTAACTATACTGAGATCTTAGAACTCATATGTCAAGGCGGTGGTGGCTTTTACGTTGTAGATGTCTATGGGCTCTAGTATCCATTTAACACCAGGTGGGCTGTGAGCTCGTCCACTCATCTATGCAATAAATATAAAAACTTATCACAATGGCGATATTTCGGTGATCCCTATAAAAGATGGCGCTCCTTACATCTACCCTCTGTACGCTAAATTATTAAAACAATTCGGACATATTGACATATTTTCTCTTTCCCGCCAAAATTATCTTCGAATAAACATTTTTAAAAGCATGACTTTTTTTATCTACATCAACGAGCAAAGCGGACATAGTCCATACAGCCAAACGCAATCAATATACATCGCGTAACGACGAAGCGAACATTTTCTTTCACAAATTCGACTTTCAATATAAATGTAAGCCAGAATTTAAAATCAATTATCATATCATAATTTCTGCTGTACCGGGCGATAAATATAGCACGTGCATTATCTCTGTCGCACGCTACCGATTTGACGTTTGTCAGACAGAGATAAACTATGAAGCCGGAATTATTTAGCTAATTGCCTCTTCCCAAAAGTCTTTGTTGTCGGGCGCTGTCATTAGCAGCGTCAATTCCAGCCTTAGATGTTGGAAGTTTGTCGTCGAAGCGTATTGTTTGAAGATGTTTTTATTAATCGGGGAGCCAATGCCTCGAATTCCAGAGCAGGCAGTAGTAGCCATTGTACTGTTGCTGTGCGTTGTTAGTCTGTGAAAAATAATAATAAGCAAGGATCAATGACCTATAGCTAATTTCTATGGAGGGTAAAGGCAAGGAGTACCGTCTCATATGGGAGAAGCTTGAAGAAGTGTCCCGCTTTCAGCACTAAATAACAGTTCAAAAATCCTCCAGAATGGCGCTAGCATAGGCACAGGGTGTGATATGAATTGAGCAGTTCTTAACTGATTGAAGTATGCTGAGTTAGGAAATTTAATATATTTAATGACTAGAAGGTCTCAGTATAGTTACAACGGCTACCCCACCCTTCAAACCGAAACGCATTATGGCTTGACGGCAAAAATAGGCAAGTGGTGGTACCCACCCGCGCGGACTCACAAGAGGTCCTACCACCAGTAAAAGTCCAACTATATATATCGCTTGTAAGAACTGACCTGAGTAGGGGCGTATCTTTGGACCAGAGGTCTGTATCCGTTGCCGAATGTTGCCAGCATCGGAGACCTTTTCGATTTTTTCGGTTGCGGCAATGGTATGATGGCGGTCACCTGGAACATAAATATTTATGGTCGTTTTGGCGGGAACTTCATTTTTTTTATACCTATTCCCTGGTAGCCTAAAGGGTTATTTCAGCCACGAACAGATCGGTAGGTGAGCTCACGGGCTCAACCTGAGAGAATTAGCTTAAATTAGCCCTAGCAAGAGTAAGGTTTCGCTGAATCTACCACCTGATCGGAATCGCGACCCACTGAGAAGTTCCAGTGAGAAACTCGACATTTTAGGTTATGTCAATTTATTATTTCTTCAGGTTTTTCCTGAAGAAGACATTGGAAAGTTCCGAATGACAGTCAGAATGTTCGGAACTTGTGTATACGCAAAGTTATCTTGTTAGCGCGAATCAGGCATCAAATATCTTTAGTTCTATGATAGATGGTACTGTTACGCCGGTAAGAATAACGCCATCTATCGCCGAATAGTGGAATGAATATCGAAGGATCTAGTAGCACCTAGAACGCTCGAGAAGTACAACGCCATCTATTGTCAGATAGCGGAAGCACAATACTCGACTTGTGTGGAATATTCTCGATAATTCTAGGGATTTCGTATCGACTATAAAAGCGTTGCAGGGATGGCACGCAGTCAGTCAGTAATCGGAAGTACTCGAAGCGAAACAGCGAACGGATCACCTGAAGCGAAGCGGAAGAAGTGAATTGATAATTTGAAAGTGTTCTGTGAGTGTTCTAAGTGATAAATGCAGATTTAACTTACATATATACTTCATTTAAGTAGAATTTTTATTTATCCCGAACCCCAGCGCGTAACAATACTAAAGGGTTTGTACTTAAGGTCTATAAATGAAGGTTTATTAACCCTTTAGCGTCTGTGAGAGGATAGGGAGAGTGCACGAGTCGAGGGACACTGTTACTCACGTCCTGCTCGTAGGGCCGACAGACTGTAATGGGACGCAACGTCGCCGCATCAGCCACTATGACGCAGCCCCACGCTGTCCCAACATAAACTTCGTCTCCGACCGCGCTCAACGCAGTCACCTGCAAATTGAATAACCGGTAATTAATAAAAACCATGCATACAAATGGAATTCGTATAAAAAACTATTCTTCTTCTGAGTCAAACTGCGTTGGCGAAGGTAGTGTTTAGCTTGAAGCTTTGGTCGCTCGATGCGCTATGCTGACATTGCCGTTCCTACGGACCGAATGGTAAAGAGTCCACGTTCCACTAACGGTGCTTTTAGGTACTACAAGCACCGGTCACGGTCCTTAGCGAATTAACCCATAGACACAGCCCACTGAGTTTCTCGCCGGATTCTCTCAGTGGGTCGTGTTTCCGATCCGGTGGTAGATTCAGCGAAGCATTTCTCTTGCTAGGGCCAGTGTTAGCAACGTCGTCAAGTTAAAGCCCCGTGAGCTCACCTACTATGAATCTAGTATAGCCCCTCGAGGTTTCTAGAATAGCTAGGGAAAAAAAAGGACTCTGCTTCTCCACGTCTTCCTGTCCTCAGCTTATAGCCTAGGTTACTGGTCTTTACCAGATCAGATCAGCGGGTAGGTGAGCGTCCGCGTGATCTTCTCCCGTCAACCTAACCCACTACCATCAGCTTCTCTAAGTTTTATCGGGGTCTCTACGAGCGATGCGTCCGAAGTATCTATTTATAGTAGTCTACGCGCTATATACAATCAGAAGATTAATTACCTTCGCGTTACAATGCGCGTTCACGCGACGCTTTGTTCAGACGCGTAATATTGTTTATCCAATAAAAGTAAGAGTAGTTTATCACAGTTTTAGAATCTGGAGCCTTATGATTTGCACCCAAAAAAAGCTGACCCTGACTTTTATTTGTTGTATTGATGGATGCAAGAATTGAAAGCTTACATGGAGCTTATACATCTACCTCGTCGTGTTCGTTCACAGCAAGACTTCCAACCCTTTCAAATTACCTATTAAAGTCGAAGAGAGAGAGAGAGAACCGATAATAGGTGACGTCATTGAGGACAAATAAAAGTCAAACATCATTAGTCTTATGTAACCAGTTCTCAAAGTCGTTCAACCAAAGAACATTCCCGATGCACTCACCCTACACAGGCACTGATCGAAGTGCTCGTCCAAGGATATGGACTGCAGGCTCTCGGAGCAGGGCACCAGCTTGCTGCAGTCCAGACGGCAGCCGACCTTCTTGGTGACCACGCTGTACTGGTACACTGACACGCCTGGGTACACGAGAACATCGATTTAGTTCGTTTATTGCTTAGACAGGTGGACGAGCTCACGACTCACCTGGTGTTGAGTAGTTACCGGAGCCCATACGAGACGTGAGTTCTAAGAGTTCGGCTGCCCCGCCCTTCAAATTGCATTACTGCTACACGGCAGAAATAGGCAGGTTGGTGGTACCTACCCATGCGAACTCACAAGACGTCCTACCACCAGTAAAATGAGTCATATGATGGCTCGTACCTGATCTCTAAATCTAGAGCGGTTTACAGATCTTCTAACATCTCTATTCATCAACCTTGAGATATGAATTCTAAGTAATTAAAAGTGTACAATTTCCAAAAATATTCGATATTGAGTTAATATGCGGAATCATTTGGTATCACAAGTATTTTTCTTATAAATACTGACAAAAGAGCTTAGTTTAGTTTTAGTTTACTTATGTTTTGACTACTATTAACAAAATTAATACATTATTTTTATTTTACTTCAAAAGACATAATGTAACTGGTAAAAAATAAAAAATAAATGTTGCAAAGATGATTGATTAATATTAAAAATATCACATGTTAAACCTTTAAACACTCTCCTGTAAAATTATAAGTTTTGAGATTATACAGTTATAATGCGAGAAGACGATTTGAGTTCTAAGGTCTCAGTATAGTTACAACGGCTGCCCCACCCTTCGAATTGCATTACTGCTTCACGGCAGAAATAGGCAGGGCGGTGGTACCTACTCGCGCGGACTCACACGAGTTCCTGTCATCAGTGCGAATTTAGAATACGATTACTCTGAATGGTCGACATATGATCGGTGTTCTGGGAACCGACCTGGCTGCGTGTACGCGTAGACGCAGGGCAGCGCCGCGGCTGCCGACAGTAGCGCGACCCTGCCCCCCGCCGCTACCGCCTCCGCCCCGCACACCCCCTCAGCCGACACGCGGTACGCCGACAGCGAGTCGCCGCCCGCCCACACCTCGAACCTGTCCTGACCGACAATAGCGCTTAACGCAGATACCCAATCTCATAATAATATCGACGCTTGAAAGGCAAACATGACTAAGCGACAATGCGTGAACTTAACAGTAGACTAATTTAAAGTTGAAATACCTGAAAACAAAATTTATTTTAACGAATCTAGCTGTAGTAGAATCTAGCTAGTAGCTGTAGGATTGAAATGATTTTAATAGACCTAGAAATATACTTTTTTGTGCATCGAATATGGTTATTGCGTATCATTTATGTACAAAGCAGTTATTGTCGCTTAGTCACATTTGCCTTTCAAGTGTCAATATATTATCACACTTTTTTTTATTGCCCGGAAATCTGATCGGTTCTCATCGGTATGCAGTCAAATAGAAGTAGCCGGTATTTGGGAGTCTTCGAGCTATCCATAATAATGCGTATTGCTATGACTTGTCCTTCATCAAACGAGGCCTGTGGAGAGTATTCAACGGTAGGCAGCGGCTTGGCTCTGCCCCTGGCATTGCTGAATTCCATCGGCGATGGTAACCACTCACCATCAGCGGTGAGTGGTGAGTGGTGAGCACAAAATAATACAACGTTTTAACACAAACAAACCGACTTCAACAAAATGTACCTAATATGGATATACCATTGATGTAGTCGAAACGAATTGAATACGCATTATTATGGATAGCTCGAACACTATACTGAATACTGGTTGGATCTTGATATCAACCCACTGAATTTCTCGCCGGATCTTCACAGTGGGTCGTGATTCCGATCCGGTGGTAGCTTTTGCGAAGCATCGCCCTCGCTAGGGCTAGTTTTAGCAATCTCTTTCAAGTTGAGTCCATTAACTCACCTACCCGCGCGTAGCTGGCATAGCCCCTTAGGCTACTAACGATAAACACTTAACATTAGGAGAGTCATTTATTAATTCACTCATATAAAGCTGTGGCGGGTAGCCATAATAGAACACAAGATATTTGACAGATTTTCAAGATAAGCTCGCATATATACAAGTTCCGAACAACAACATTCGGACCGTCGATCTACCGAGCAATATCGCCCGCTCGGTGGAAGATCTTCCCTTTGTCGTATACCTCCACAAAGCTATTTTTCTTTTCTTACCTAAGCTGATAGCTTTGAGAGGGTATTTCAGCGTAACCTTAACTAGTAGGTGAGCTCGCGGGGCTCGAACCTGACGACGTTGCTAACACGAACCCTAGTAAGAGCCGTGCATCGCAGAATCTACCACCGGATCGGTGACCGGTGCTTGGGGTACCTAAAAGCACCGTTAGTGGATCGGGAGGATCCGTAATAACGTGCTTTGGGCGACGTCGACTGTTCACCATTCGGTCTACAGGATCGGGTATGCACAAAGCTATGAGGATCATAGGTCTGAGTAATGTAGTCCTAAGTACAGCGTACCCATGCGGCGTCGGCACGGCGGCCAGACAACACAGCTCGCGCGCTGCCCCCAGCTCGGAAAGCACGAAGCAGCCTTCAGCCACCGGCTCCTGGCCAGTCACCAAGAACAACCTGTGTGATTTTTTAAGTGAAACTTCGTCTCAAACTTTTTCGTCTGTGTGTCGCATGTCGCGTGACGGTCGGCCGCGAAGTACGGATAAAGTGAAAAGTGCTCGTCAGAGCAGCCAAGGCCAATATGGCGGCGCCTATAGTTCGCAGAGCTGACCGTGTAGTGTATAGACTAGTACTCATTTGTGCCAGTGCTTCACGCTATTTTGTTTGTTTTTGTCAGTGTTTAGTGTAAATATTGTTTGTCAGAGTTAAATGTCTATAATGTGAAAAAAAGTTTCACTTTTACCGTGGTTTCATAAAACCAGCCTGGTGCCAAATGGTTACCGGTGGCCATAGACATCTAAAACGTAAATGCCGCCACCCACATTGAGACACGAGTTCTAAGGTCTCAGTATAGTTACAACGTCTGCCCCACCCTTCAAACGAAAACGCATTACTCCTTCACGGCAGAAATAGGCGGGGTGCTGGTACCTACCCGTGCGAACTCACAAGACGTCCTACCATCAGAAAATTGTACAAATTACAATCGTGCTAAATCAGTATTCACTATAAAACGTTTTGAGCCTCACCTCCCGCAGGCGAGGGCGAGCGCGACCCGGCCCAGGTCCGCGAGTGACAGCATGGCCACTATGCCGCTACTCGCGCCGCCCACAGAATCCTGAACTTTGGCACTCCATTTCAACGCGCAAGTCGAAGCACTGTTGAAGATAAAAATTCACTGATCTGTTTACCTGATTATATTTTTTTTATTTTAGTGCTTAGATGGGTGGACGAGCTCACAGCCCACCTGGTGTGTAGAGCGTGGACTGTAATTTGTACTGGTCGCTTCGATAACTAGATATATTCAGAGAGAAAACTTCTTCTCTCTCTTCTCTTCTTCAAACGGGGCTTGCGGAGAGTACTTTATGGTAGGCAGCGGCTTGGCTCTGCCCCTGGCATTGCTGACGTCCATGTGCGACGGTGACCACTTACCATCAGGTGGGCCGTATGCTCGTCTGCCTAATGAGGCAATAAAAAAAAGGTTATTTTATTTTAGTCTAATGTAGTTATAACACGTGCACGTACGACCAGAATTTTTTATTGACTTACATTGACTGTGTTACAACTTGCCACAATTATTATTGGGTTTCAAAATTCAAAAAATAGTCATACAAACTTCATGTTTAGGATTGCCCTAAACACCTGGTGTTAAGTGCTTATTGGAGCCCATAGACATCTACAACTTAAATGCGCCACCCACCTTAAGATATAAGTTCTAAGGTCTCAAGTATAGTTACAACGGCTGCCCCGCCCTTCAGGCCGAAACACATTACTGCTTCACGGCAGAAATAGGTAAGGCGGTGGTAGCCGTGCGGACTCACAAGAGGTCCTACCGCCAGTATAAAATCTCACAACGGACTGGTGATTTACGATAGTGTGAAAGACGATATCTGTAAGAGGAGAGTGAGCGAAGAAATGGTATATGATAGAGGAGTATGGAAGGAGAAAACATGTTGCGCCGACCCCAGGTGACTGGGAGAAGGGCAGGAGAATGATGATGATGGATTGGTGATCTACTGTTCCACTGGGAAAGTAGCATCCTGCCTGTTTAGTAGGACAGCCAGATTGGGGAGGTGTAGCCTCTGCGAAAGATGAGGTCCGCGTCAATGATTTAGATCAGTGTTTCTCAACCTTTTTTGTGCCATGCCCCACTGTTACATTTCTAATGTTATATTCCCTATATATAATATTTAACATAAAAAAGTTGATTTGTTCACTTAAGAAACATAAATGATCGGTTTTAGGAAGAAATCACTATGAAATTGTTTTCAAAAAACACAGAAAGTAATACTTTAAAACATAATATATTCAAAATAGTTTTAATACATATTTCCTATATTATTTTGTGCGATTGTCCCCCTTAATTATCAAGCCGTCCCTTTGGGGGGCGTGGGCCCCGCTTTGGGAAACACCGATTTAGCGGATACAATATGAGAAGTTTGTACTTACGAGTATACTGTGAGTCTGCCGGAGGAATCTCCGACCCAGACCGTGGCTCCGACCACGCAAACGGCCGTCGCGACGACTGGTTCAGCTTTGTCTACGGGAAAAAATTTACATTTGTTGTCTGTAGAGTCGGTTTACGGACGATAGTTTTACGTGATAACCTCTGCAGCAAAATTATTCAAGCTGCTAGCTCTGACGTCACGCGAGAAGAGAGATGTCACTGACTGACCTGCAAGCAGCCTGACGGTGTGATGATGCGTGAAGGCGTGTGGCGAGGCCAGGAGTGTGTGGACCCGTTCTGGCTCCCCTCCTCCGTACCAAAGTTCCCACTGCAGCGCGCCCTCCTCTGAAATTTAAACTTGATTCAATTCGATTTCTTCTTCTTCTTTTTCTCCACCTTATCCCACTAGGTTTTCACTGGTGGTAGGACCTCTTGTGAGTCCGCACGGGTAGATACTACCGCCCCGCCTATTTCTGCGGTGAAGCAGTAATGCGTTTCGGTTTGAAGGGTGGGGCAGCCGTTGTAACTATACTGAGACCTAAGAACTTGTGTCAGGGTGGCTGGCGCATTTACGTTGTAGATGTCTATGGGCTCCAGTAACCACTTAATACCAGGTGGGCTGTAAGATAGTCTACCCATCGAAGCAATTAAAAAAAAATTGGTGGGATTGGCACAGCTAATTTTTCTCTTCGACTCTGAATGCGGTAAGCTGTTGTTGTTTTTGCAAGAAACTTCAAGCGATTATATTTTGGGCTAATGAACTCACGGTTCACCTCACTTCAGTCCACCGTAGCTTAGAGGAATTGTTCGAGATGATCTCTCAATCTCTAGATCTCTTCTTCTTTCTTTGTCTCCACTTTATTTTACTATTCCGTTCTCTTCTATCAGCCGTCATCTCAACTCTCATATCGTCATTCACACACTCCATCCATGTGTTCTTCGGTCGACCTCTTCCCCCTCTACCTTGCACTACCATTTCCATACATCTCCTAGTCACATGCGTCTCCTCTCCACGCATCACATGTCCACACCACGCTAACAGTCCACTCTTTAATTTGTTGATTACCGGAGCTACTTTGATTCAATTCGAATTCGACCTGCGAAAATCCGGCTCCAATTTAGGATTCCCTGTGTTATGGGTACTATACTTTTAAATATATACGTATATAGATAATAAACACGCAGATGAAGAGCACACAGACCTGTTCATCACACAATGTGTGTGTTGATGCGGGAAGCGAACCCACAATCCTCGGCGCCAGAGTCTGAACCACTGACCACTGCATCACCGACTCAGTCGTGTGGTTTTGGAAAAAATTCAGTTCCAATTCTCAATATTTGCAGACGAAGTTTTAAAAGAACCACCAGGAATTTCATTTTAGGCGAACAGGAGTTCCAATGTCAATGGCAATGACAATTGTTTTGTATTAAAATTAGTCTCCCTCTAAAACACAATTCAAATTGTGAACCAGTAAAGTGTTAGTACTATGCAGCGCACGATCGCGCAGACCTGTGGCTCGAGTGACGTCACAGCCACACGTGGCTCCGTGACGTCACAGCTACACGCGGCTTGGTAACGTCACAGCTACATGCGGCTCGGTGTCGTCACAGCCACACGTGGCTTGGTGATGTCACAGCTACGCGTGGTTCGGTGTCGTCACAGCTACGCATGGCTCGGTGTCATCACAGCTACACGTGACTTGGTAACGTCACAGCCATACGTGGCTTGGTGACGTCACAGCCACACGTGGCTCCGTGACGTCACAGCTACATGTGGCGCGCGGGTACTCACGTGTGTGTAGAGGCAGCGCCGCGGCGGTGGCGGCGGGGCGGCAGGCGGCCGCGTCCCGGAGCGTGCCGTACTCGGGGGCTGCGCTAAGGGACACCAGCGCGGCGCCCGACGGACGCGCCTCCGGAGACCCGCTCCAACACCGACGCATCATCTCGAGGACGCAGCACGGATACTCCAACTCCTGGGACATGGATTGGTCTACTAGAGGCTTTGTTGCCGAGACACTGCAGTGGATTCTAATCGGCGACCAAGGATTTGCTGTTAGAATTAAAAAGGTAGTGCCATTGTCCGTACGTCTATTCATCTCTTTAATCCAGTTAACTCAGCAGTAATCCAATAAAAACAATCCATGTAGTGCAGTGCTTCGAAGAGTATTGCAAGTCCGCCTAGTCAGCCGGTTTTTACTGGCGGTAGGACGTCTTGTGAGTCAGCGCGGGTAGGTACCACCGCCCCGCCTATTTCAGCCGTAAAGCAGTAATGCGTTTCGGTTTGAAGGGTGGGACAGCCGTTGTAACTATACTGAGACCTTAGAACTTATATCTCAAGGTGGGTGGCGCATTTACATTGTAGATGTCTATGGGCTCCAGTAACCTGTGAGCTCGTCCACTCATCTTGGTCCCAATCCTTGGCAATCACTTTATCGGCTCCCCTGTACCGGCCATAAATGGCCATCATAATGCTATAAATTTTAACTTTTTTTTTTATTGCCCTTGTAGGCAGACGAGCATACGGCCCACCTGATGGTGAGTGATTACCGTCGCCCATGAACTTCAGCAATGCCAGGGGCAGAGCCAAACCGCTGCCTACCGAAATGTTTTTGCAATTACGATGACGTTGTATCTTCAAATCCTAGACTTTAGTAGACCAGGACCATTGTACTTACGCTAATGCGCGAATGAAATATGACGTTGTAACTGTGAAGAAATCAAGAGGGACGACAGAACATCGAAATTCATGATTCCTCTCTGCTCTGGGAAATAGGCCAAAAAGGAATAATCTATTATAAATTTAGATTATAGATCAGCATTTACTTATTTATTTAAAAATTCTGTGCTCGCGCGTCCCTTATCACTACACGCCCCTAGGCACGTGCCTAGTTTGTCTTACGGATAATCCGCCTCTGCTATTACCCTTGGAGTGAGTGTGGGCCTCACGCCCTCAAGCACGGCTTCCTTGACGGCCTCGTGACCCTCGAACGGCTGGCGGCAGGTCACCACCTCGTAGATCAGCATGCCGTAAGAGAAGCAGTCCACCTGGAATGTGTACAAGTTCTGCATGTCTTCCTTCCGTACTCAACTCATGTTCACCAACTGCTTCCAAGATAAAGGAATTTAATAAGCCCGTAAAAATTTAACCCATAGACACAGCCCACTGAGTTTCTCGCCGGATCTTCTCAGTGGGTCGCGTTTCCGATCCGGTGGTAGATTGTAGAAAGCACGGCTCTTGCTAGGGCCAGTTTTAGCAAATTTCCCGGTTTGAGCCCCATGAGCTCACCTACACAACAAGAAGAAGCTGCAATAGCCCGTCAAAGCTATCAGCATAGGTAGGGAAAAAAATTAGAAAAATTGGTACCCGCCTGCGGGATTCGAACACCGGTGCATCGCTTAATACGAATGCACCGGACGTCTTATCCGTTAGGCCGCGACGACTTCAAGTAAAATAAAATAGTATTAACTAGTTTTTGATCTTCTTACCTTTTCATTGTATTCTTCTTCGCCATTGTATCTCATGATCTCCGGCGCCATGAACCCTTCAGTGCCCCCGAAGCCTTTCGTCCCTGAGGGCGGAGCTAGCCTGCTGATACCTGTAAACGTTACTAGCATTGATGATCCTCGGACTTTTTGGCGGGAACGCGAGGAGTGAAGTTGTGTGATTTGTTTTATTTCGTCTATTTAGTGTTTCTTCAGACTTAAATGTGTAATAACGGTGGTTTATTAACTTTTTTTTTTAAATTGCTTAGATGAGTGGACGAGCTCACAGCCCACCTAATGTTAAGTGGTTACTGGAGCCCATTGACATTTGCAACGCAAATGCGCTACCCACCTGGAGATATAAGTTCTAAGGTCTCAGTATAGTTACAACGGCTGCCCCACCCTTCAAACCGAAACGCGTTATTGCTTCACGGCAGAATAGGCGGGGCGGTGGTACCTACCTGCGGGGACTCAAATGGGATCCTACCACCAGTAACAATTATATCGATTTATGTTACTCAAGCGCTTGGATTGACTAACTTTGCCTTCTTTTGTTTGTTAATATATGTTTTAGTCTTTCAGGTCTTTTAGAAATAGATTCATTCTCAGTATCTTCTGATTCGTCTTTCCCAAAGTTTTTTTGTTTTTTTTTTATTGCCCTTGTAGGCAGACGAGCACACGGCCTACCTGATGGTGATTGGTTACCGTCGCCCATGGATATCGGCAATCGGACATCGGAAACGCATTAGGTACTACTTCACGGCAGAAATAGGTAAATATAAATACCACCAGTAAATTATCCGTATCTAACGGACCGCACTGGCCCCACTTATATTTACCGTAATCTCCCAGTTTGACCAGTACTTGCAGGGGGGCTGAGTTGATCTCAGCTTCCGCGGCTTCGTGCGGCTTCGGGAGATGCCACACTAATACGTTTTCAGACTGAAACATTAGTATTCTTATAACAGATGACGGCAGCAATGAACTTGAGAGGGACTAGAGTTATATTAGGAGTTAAAGTATGAAATTGCCGATTTGTACTGAAAAATTGAAATTCGTTTTTTTTTTTTCATTTAACATATTTATTTCATCAAAATATCTGCCATTATTATCTATACATTGCTGCCATCTAATAAAGAATAATAGGAAGATCATATTGTATGTCTTCGCAATAGAACTCTGGTGATCTAGATTCTACAAGCTATGTGAAAGCATTTTGTACTGCCTCCTGGGAAGAAAACTTTTTATCACGTAGAAAATTGTCCAAATCACGAAAAAAATTGTAGTCCGTTGGAGCAAGGTCTGACGAATACGGAGGGTAACGAATGGTTTCTAATTGCAGTTCCTCCAAACGCAAAATTGATATTGCGAGCTGTTCCGGGAGTGTTAAGTAGTTCCGCGTCGGAACTCTTATTCAAAAATCACTCGAATTTTCGAAGTATCCATCCTTCTTGTTTAAGCTGAATAAAAAAAACAGCTGAAAGTCGATAATCGAATGTTGCACATTTTTTAAAAGAAGAACCCCATGGGTACCATTTGAAAAAGTTTCACTCAAAAATCTCAAAACATGAAGGTTCTATGTCAATTCGAAGTACCTATTACAATAAAGCGGCAATTTCATACTTTAATCCCTATTATATAGTCCGTATACATATATCTACATGATGACTTTCATGAAAAAGAGGATAGATGCTCTCGAAATGTGGTGCTGGAGGAGAATGCTGAGAACTATCGTGGTCGGAGTTCAGAAATAATCAGTCCGTTACAAAGGAACTCGGCATCAAGCAGCGCATATCCTCTATCAATCAGAGTCGCATTCTCACTTTCTTCAGACATGTGTCGCGACGGGAGACGACTCAGTTGAGCGCCTTGTGGTGCAGGGCATGATAGATACAACACCGCGCGGAAGATCACCGTTACGATGGACCGACCTAATCAAAGCAGCTCTAAACGGTCCCATCAACCAGTGCACGCGAAGGGCCGCGGTACTCGAGGTATGGCGACGTCTCTTGATGCGCACCACCACCCGAAATGATTACCACGACCACTCTGCCAAGAGAGTACTTGACTCTACTAGCGCAGCTGATAGAAGAAGACAGCCAGAGGCAAGTGCTAACGATGTGAACGCCACCCCTACTTTATTGATAGATTAAGTACCGGTCTCAATTTCATTGTAAATCCGCCCCACCAGTCACTGGCAGAAACAGGCAGAACACTGCTGTGGGCTCGTGGTACAGAAACGGTACTAAAGGACATAGGCCGTATTAGGTCAGTAGCCAAGTCACTCAACTCAAGCTCAAAGGCAGATCTACCTATCCTGACTTCTTCGTCGTTCCCTTATTACTGAGGATCGCGATCACATGTATACATGAAGATCGGTTGAGAGGAGAGGTTCACCGCCTGTTGGATGCTGCCCCTAACTGTCCTTGTCCAACCATCTCGTTTGTACCTTTTACTCGTTTTCCCTCCTCTTGACCAAAAATGAGAAGCTTTTCCGGACTATGCCTTGGGGAATGACATGTCCGAAAAAGCTTTATTACTGGTGGTAGGACTTATTGTGAGTCCGCACGGGTAGGTACCACCGCCCTGCCTATTTTTGCCGTGAAGCAGTAATGCGTTTCGGTTTGAAGGGCGGGGCAGCCGTTGTAACTATACTGAGACTTTAGAACTCATATCTCGAGGTGGGTGGCGCATTTACGTTGTAGATGTCTATGGGCTTCAGTAACCACTTAACACCAGGTAGGGTGTGAGCTCGTCCACACAAGCACTGAGCAATAAAAAAAAAAGAAAATAGCTGAGTGTTCGACCTTGGCAAATGGCGGAGAGCCGCCTTGTCATGTGCTCTTGACTTAGCGTTACTAATAATGTTAATAATCCGGACTGATGAATGAATAATGTGTGATCCTCTGGTCTTCCTCCTAGTCTGCTACTCTTGGTAGAGTTGGCTGTCGATGGATAGGGTTTCATCTCGTCGTCGCCGCTCACTTCCAAGCAGGCTGTTGGCATTGCGAGCAGATCCTCTGGTATTTCTGAATAACTCTAACATACCTTCAGGTCTCTGTACACGATCCTCCTGGCGTGCAAGTACTCGAGGGCCCGAGCTACCTGCAGGAGGACAGCACGCGCCGCCCTCTCCCCCACCCGCGCCCCCCCGCTCCGGTACTCCCGTAGGGCTGCGTCCAGAGCTCCCTGAGACAACACGAGGGATATTGAGGCCAATGTCCCACAAAATTGCGAGACGTTAGCACACATTTGATTTTAGTTTACATTCCATTCCGTTCCATATGTACGCGCGTAAGAAGTTATACTTTATTTTTATTTTTTTTATTTTTTTTGTTTAAATTTTAATCAATTTGAAAAAAAATCGATTAAACAACATCCTCAAACACGCATATTGGACATCCCTTTTCTTGACATCGTATAAATTCGGTAATTCTCGGTACGCTTCGGAAAGTTCACCTGCGGCTATATTCAGACTCGCCAAGTTACGTCGGTCGTATTGTAATGAGCGATTTAGTGGGCAACTTCATTCTGTTAATTTTGTGTCACGGTGCGCGCGCATCGTAAAATTTCAATCTCATCAATTTTTCATAACGCGCCTAAAGATGTATAACTTCAATTAAATATCTTAATTTTGCCTTCTTTTTTTTTAATTTGCCTTAAAATGTCCATATCTACGTAGCTTCACTGGCATGGTTTATTAGAAAAGAACAAGGTCCAATGTTGCTGTTCATATATTGAGTCCCCAGTTTGGAATTAGCTATAAACTCATGATTGTTGTTTCGTTGGTCACCGCGTCACGACAGGGCACGAACCTCGGGGGCTCACAAAACGTCCCAACACCAGCGGAGCTGGTAGCAAAATATTTAAAAGATGCCTGAATTGCAACTAACTTTACATATTTACAAGTTCCCAATAGTAACATTCGGACCGAATGATAATAAAGGTTCTGAGAGTGGAGAGGAGAGAGGAGAGAGAGAGAGAACTGAGAGGAGAGGACAGAGAGGGGAGAGTGAGAGGGGAGGGAGGGAGAGAGTGGGAGGGCGGGGGAGAGTGAGAGCGGAGGGAGGGAGAGAGTCGGAGGGAGGGAGAGAGTGGGAGGGCGGGAGAGAGAGAGTGGGAGGGAGAGAGAGAGAAAGATAGCGAAAAACGGAGAAAAACAGAAAGATATCAAATACCTGCGGCGCGAGCTCCAGCAGCAGGGCGAGTGGGGCGGCGCAGACGGCGCGCAGGGAGACCACGTGCGGGTGCGAGAGGCGCAGCACGATGCCCAGCTCCTGCCGCAGCCCGCAGTACGCGCGGCAGGCGGCAGACAGCGGGTCGCGGTCCCAGCGCGACAGGGCCGCCTGCGCCCCACCCGACAACCACAATACGTGAACAGACTTGTCGCAAAGGAAGGTAGCTTTATGAAAAATTAGCGGCCCGCTCCGGTTCCGCTCGGGTCTTTAATAAAAACGTCAACGATATTTGACGTTGTTTTATTTTTTAAATAAAAGAACTCTTATTGCGGCATAACTAACATATAATAGTTAGACATATGCTGTCGGGACACTTTTTGTAAATAATAATGTCGAATAAGAAAGTTGCAGTACGTTATTTTATTCTATCATCAATAGTTTTCGCAGGTCACGTGATGTAAAGAATATTTTGGGCAATTTTTTTACACCTTGGGATACATTATTGGGGCTTTAGTAAGAATCCCAAATTTTTTCAAAAAGTATTATAGCCTATGTCACTCGATAATAGTGTAGCTTCCAAACAGTGAAAGAATTTTTCAAATCGATTCAGTAGTTTCGGAACCTATTCAATACAAACAAACAAACAAATCTTTCTATAGAATCTCTTTATAATATTACTATAGACGTATAGACTAGCTTTTGCCCGCGACTAGGTCCGCGTGGAATAGTTACTTTGGCATAACGCTAAATTTTACCCCCACTTCATTTACGTAGAAAGTGAAAATATTTTTGAATTATATAATTTTAAGGAGATATTTAAACCCCTATTTTGAGACATTCTTTATTGGACTCCACTTGTATTGGCCTTACCGTGATGTTATATAGCCTAAATGTTATATAGCCTTCTTCAATAAATGACTTATCTAAAAATGAAAGTTTTTTTAAATCGGACCAGTAGTTCCTGAGATTAGCGCGTTCAAACAAACAAACTCTTCAGCTTTATAATATTAGTATAGATTAAGGGCAGTAGTACCATGTGAACTGGATTGAACACACGGCACGCGTCGAGCGTGACCAAACGAATTGCCACTGCAATTAGATTCTCCTACCAGTCTAAACCTTGGATTTAGCTCACAAAATTCCGTGAAAATCACTTTCGCAATTTTTGCGTAATTCTCGATAGAAAATCTATACAAATAAAAAAAATACATGTGTGCAATTCACACGTGGTAGAAGTGAAACCTTCCAAAATTAAAATACAATTATCCTAAACGTCTTAAGTATATGTAAAATTTTGTCATTAGTAAATAATTGTAAGGTAGCGCCCTCTGTGAATTGATATTTTAATTTCACGTATAATCCTAAATTAAAATTCACTACAAGAGCTTTCATACACACGTTAGTATTAAAAAAACCTCACAGATGGCGCTGTATTAAATAGTATGTATATTTCTGTCTCATTCTTTTGTATTTGTGTCTCTTACCTGTTGTTTTTTCCGTTGCATCCGGTTTGAAATCACAACGATTCTAAAGAAGTTTTCACTTCAAAAAGAACAAGACAAATACATTTAGCAATAAATTTCTACAGAACTTTCTCTGACCTTGTAAGCCTGCTGAGCTGGTACATCATGGTGACTGGGGGGCGGGACTGGCTGTAAGGCTTTGATGGCGACCGGCACTAAGTTAGCTGGTGAACGGCGCCACGTGCCCGTCAGCACGGTACCGAAGGCGCCGCGCCCCGCCACCACCCCGCGCGTGATTTGCTCCCACCGGGCTCTCTTCTCTTCCTCCACGTCTAGCAGGAGCTGTACAATCACCACGCTATGCTGTACAATCAGAGTTAAGCAGCTGCCTACCGTTGAGTACTCCCCACAAGCCTCTTTTGAAGAAGGACATGTCATAGCGCTCGGGAAACACCGTGGTGGGGAGCTCATTCCAAAGCCGGATGGTACGTAGCAAAAAAGATCTCTGGAAACGCACTGTGGATGAATGCAGTGGCTCCAGGTAGTATGGATGAACTCTACTCCGGTGGCGGGCGGTGCGATAGTAAAAACGAGATGATGGTATCATCTTGGATAATTCCTCAGAGCATTCGAAAGTCTTAGGTCTCGTAGCGGCTAGCTGCCGAAGACCAGTTTTTTTTTGTCCTTTGTACATAGACCACCAAGTACAGTTTTGCATACAGCCAACCAGATGGTGAGTGGTTACTGTCGGTCGTGGACTTCAGCAATTCTAGTAGGGGCAGAGCCAAGCCGCTGCCTGTCTCCAAGTGCTCTCCACAAGTCCATTCCGAAGTAAGATGATGCATGGCAAAAACTATACTGTGGACGAACCCATTTGGTTCCAGATAGTATGACCTTTACTTCAGTGGCTGGAGGAGTGAAGGCAACAGTTTGAGAGATCTATATATTGAGAGATCATCTCGAAGATCATTCTCTAAGCTACGGTGGACCGAAGTGACTTGAGCCATGAGTTCACTTGCCCAGAATATAATCGCTTGAAGTTTCCTGCAAAAACAACGATAGCTTACCGCATCCGGAGCCAACTGCCTCAGCTCTACGTGCGAGTGCAACGCGCACTGGAGCTTAGTACTGGTGCAAGCCGCTAATATGCAGTCCTCCACGGTCCAAGCGTACACGGAGGTGGCGGGTCTTGGCTCGTTCACTATCCCCTCCACTGACCCGAGCCGGGACGAGGCTGGGGATGGCGAATGTGAAGATGCATGATGGTCGCTGTCTAAACGAACGAGCTCACGGCCGACTTGACGTTAAGCGGTTACCGAAGCCAATGGATATCAAAATGCCACCACTCGCAGTTACTTCTCTGTGGGTCATCACTAGTGGTCGGAGTAGGTAGATTGATTTTATATACTTGCGTCAAGATATTATAATATGGACATGCCATTTTATTCATAATGATATTTTTTTTAAATGGCAATAAAATATTTTTAATCCTCATCGGATACAATTTACATATTTATGAGATAAAGTAACAAAAAGCCCTGTCTAAGCTTTTTCTCATACTGACAAGCGTCATTTCTAATTCAACAGAAAGGGACAAAATACTACTCCAAGGTGTTTTTGTATAAAATAAAATACTGCTTTCTTTCACCATTAGCTAGCACTGGCAGCGTAGATTAATATAATTAATACGTTTTTCACCTTAAACATAGATTCATGCTAATTTCAAAATTCCGGAACAAATATCACAATAAATATGAAGTTCCGGTTTTTTGGAGGCATATCCATATTATCCTCTACGTTTGACGTCGACGACCTTAAATCAATCTACCTACTCCTAGTCATCACACATACCAATAGTCTGGAAATTGTCTTACGATTCGCTCTATCCAAAGCGTTTTAATTTTCCAATAAACTGTTATTAGAACACATTCTTTCTTGCGCTGAACCTAAATAGTATGCTCTCCGGAGACGACCACTTTAAACGTTAATTGATATATCTATTTCTACCCGTTGGAAGTCGTTGCCTTCGAAGTCTGGTTAAATCAGTTTCACTATACAATTTCAGTTGGACTTTTTGGCGGGAACGCGAGGAGTGAAGTTGTGTGATTTGTTTTATTTTGTCTATTAAAATTTCGTGTTTCTTCTGGTTTAAATGTGTAATAACGGTGGTTTATTAACTGTTTAATATCTGTGAAAGTGCACAAATGTGGGAAAATGAAACAAAGCCACTGGACGTAGTTTTTCGGGATCCTCCAAAAAGTCCACTTCATTTCACTCCATATTATCATTTTTCACAAAAATAAGATTAAAAATTCAAATAAGACTTGACCTAAAGGTTTTAGATACCACCAGGTCATAAAATTCCTTAAAAAAATATACAATTTCAGTTCTTAATAATACCACTTTGATAATAGCAGTAGGCAACAACGCCCTGCCTATTTTCGCAGTCTAAAGGGCGGGAACCGTTATGCAAGACGATCGCGACTTGGACCTCTCATCTCGGGGTAAGCAACGGCATTTGAGGTTATTCGTTTACTGGTTTACGGTGACATTTAAGGCATTTACTGGTGGTAGGATGTCTTGTGAGTCCGCACAGGTAGATACCACCACCCTGCCTAGTTCTATCGTGAAGGAGCAATGCGTTTCGGTTTGAAAGATGGGGCAACCGTTGTAACCATACTGAGGCCTTAGAACTCATATCTCAAGATGGGTGGCGGCATTTACGTTGTAGATGTCTATGGGCTCCAGTTACCATTTAACACCAGGTGGGCTGTGAGCACACGACCGGGCGACCTTGGGGTGAGCTGCGATATCTGGTTGTAGTGTTGACTGCGGTAACCCCCCTACCACATCCGGGTTCTGACCTTGGAAGGGATCGGAGGCTTGGGCGAAGAGTGCAAGGGGTTAATCACTAAAACTAGCACGAATGAAACTGTTTTGATGCGTTGCTGTTTTTTTTTTCTATTTACCATTAGACTCAGCGCCAACTCCACTGTCTCCGTCTGAGGCGCGGGAGTCCTGGGACAGCCGCGCCCTCCTCGGCTCCAAGGCGCCAAGTTCAAATCTTCTGAATGCCTGCGTCGATATCGCACCAGGGTCAAGGCGAGTGTTACGCAAGATTATCATATCGAGGGGCGAAATGCTTTTTCTTGCCCTTGCAGGCAGACGAGCATAGGGCCCACTTGATGGTGTTTGGTGTCGCCCATGGACTTCAACAATGCCAGGAGCAGAGCCAAGCCGCTGCCTACCGTTAAGTAATCTCCACAAGTCTCGTTGGAAGGAGACATTCGCTTAACAAACGACATTTATCTTTGTAATTAAAGGCGCGTTCTATTCGGTATCAGCATCAACGATTCGAACACCGGCGCATCGCTCAACACGAGCGCACCGGACGTCTTATCCTTTAGGCCACGACGACTTACGTTGCGTCTTGGAGCGTTGGGCTCATCTAGTCAATTTGTGTGACATGAAAAGAGCGCGACGTTAAAACGCAGCGCTAAGTACGCGTTCTGTTTGACGAAGCCTTTAATGCGATATTTAGTCCACAATAACCTGCCCATTATAATTGATGCGTTTAACTTACTTGCGCTAAAGGCATGTCGTCGTGGGAGCTTCGCCCCGCGTCCTTCAGACAGGCGGGGCAGGGGACCAGCCGCGTGATCAGGCATCGTCCCTCCGAAGTATGTACGAACCTTGTACCTGGAGACATATAGCTGATTACTCTAAGTAACTCTGGAAGAGTGTGGCCAGGTCCATCCTCCTCCGTTATGCCGTGAGGCAGTCAATCGTGCCAATTTTTAGGGTGGAATAATTGTGCAATACCATTGCGACTTAGAACTAATATCTCTATATGGGTGGCACCACTCACTAAATGTCTGTTTGTATTGCATGCTTATCCACTTAACACCAGGAACCACATGAACTATTCCACTTATCTAGTTCACTAAAGTCCTTCACGCGGCCAATGATCGGAGGTATTGGAGAGGCATTACAAGAAGTAAAATCCTGTCGTATTATAATGGTCACGACTCTCGACAGTGAGGAAAGGGTGCGAGGAGGAGAAGGAGAATATGCTACAAAATGAATAGACGGCATGAATGATTTGCGGCTGATTGAAACAGACAGGATAATACTTTGTGGAAGGTTTAACAATGGAGGGAAGATCTTCCACCGAGCGGGTGATATTGCTCGGTAGACCGAAGACCCGAATGTTGTTGTTCGGAACTTTTTTTTTTTATGGCTTAGATAGTTGGACGAGCTCACAGCCCACCTGGTGTTAAGTGGTTACTGGAGCCCATAGACATCCACAACGTAAATGCGCCACCCACCTTGAGATATAAGTTCTAAAGTATCAGTATAGTTACAACGGCTGCCCCACACTTCAAACCGAAACGCATTATTACTTCACGGCAGAACGTAGACGGGGTGGTGGTACCTACCCGTGCGGACTCACAAGAAGTCCTACCACCAGTAAGCTTGTATATATGCAAGCTTATCTTGAAAATGTCGTAAGCGAGATTCAAGCATCTGTCAGATATCTTGTGTTCCATGGCTGCCTACCACAACTTCGTACATACCCTAAATCTTACCTAACGATGGGTACCAGTCCTCTAGTAACAAGTCCACGTGATCGGAAAGTAGCGCTAGCAGCTTGGCCAACGTCTCCGGGTTCGGTTCCAGGCTGATGCTCTGAATAATACATAATCGATTTAAGTTTGAGCTTAGACTCGTGCTTGTGCTCACAGACCACCTGGTGTTAAATGGTTACTGGAGCCCATAGAGATTTACAACGTAAATGCGCCACCCACCTTGAGATATAAGTTCTAAGGTCTCAGTATACTTACAACGGCTGCTCCACCCTTCAAGCCGAAATGCATTACTGCTTCACGGCAGAAACAGGCAGGGCTGTGGTACCTGCCCGTGCGGAGTCACAAGAGGTCCTACCACCAGTATTGCCAGGGGTCAACGGTAACAGAAATTTAACTAAAACCCAAACCTAAAGCAAAGGAAACAACACAGTGGAACAGGCACCAGTATTCCTCTCGTCAAATAGAAGGAAATACCGTGTCGGAGACTGGGGGGCCGGAAGGAATTTGGTCCTTACCTGGTACCCAGCTATCGGGAGGCCGTCGTCTCTCTTCACGACACACACCTGCGCGGGTAGACAGAGCTCCACGCAGGCAGTCGCGTCCACCTCCAGATCACACCAAGCACCTTCTTGGCGTACCCTGAGCCTGAGTTTATTCAAATATAATCTTAGGGAACATGGAATTTCTATAGAGTAGCAGTAATGAGCCTCGGTACAGAATGGGAGACATAGTAGGATTGATTCCCGGGTAAGCGTGTTTTGCGTGTCCCATCACTACGGGCCCATTTCCACTACTACATACCTCAGTCTCATTACTACATATCTCAGTTCCATAATACAGACCTCATTCCCACTACTACACACCTCAGTCCCATTACTACAGACCTCAGTCCCACTACTACATAACTCAGTCCCGCTACTACAGACCTCAGTCCTACTACCTACTTTCGGTAGGCAGCGACTTGGCTCTGCCCCTTGCATTGCTGAAGTCCATGGGCGACGGTAACCACTCACCATCAGGTGGGCCGTATGCCCGTCTGCCTACAAAGGCAATAAAAAAAAAAAAAAACATACCTCAGTCCCATTATTACAGACCTCAGTCCCACTACTACAGACCTCAGTCCCACTACTACATAACTCAGTCCCGCTACTACAGACCTCAGTCCTACTACTACAGACCTCAGTCCTACTACTACAGACCTTAGTCCCGTGTAAGCGTGTTCAGTGTGTCCGTCGTCGCAGAGGCCGAGCAGGGCGTCGGTCCGCGCCGGCAGGTCCCGAAGCGAGGCGACGGTGAGAGCCCCGCAACACAGCGACAGTCCCGTTTTCCACAACTTCCAGCCCCAGCATCCCTCCAGCGCTCGGGATATACCCTCATCCACTTCCATCTTAAAAAAAGTTCATCAGATTTGAGACCTTGAATGTTTCAAGGTTTATAATGACTCAATTTACACAATTTATCGATCCTGGAACCTCTCGACTGAGAACTAGATGAAGCCGCTAAGCCACGACACGCACACATTTCTAATCCCTGGATACAAAGTCTCACCTCGGGCGTCAGACGATACAGCTGGCCTGCAGCCACTGCCAGTGCAGCATCAGCCAGCACCCTGGTGGTCAGACGAGCCCAGAAGCCACTCGGCACGTACGAGAGCAGGACGAGTCGCACGAGGGACATCTCCCCCCCTCTCCCAGACACCGTGATGGAGCCCGTGTGATCTTCTGTGGAGTAAATACGAAATGCGGCTTAAAGTCGTCGCGGCCTAAAGGATAAGACGTCCTGTGCGTTCGTATGTAGCCATGCACCGGTGTTCGAATCCCGCAGGCGGGTACAAACTTTTCTAATGAAATACGTACTTAACAAATGTTCAAGATCAACTTCCACGATGAAGAAATAAGATCGTGTAATAAAATCAAACCCGCAAAATTATAATTTGCGTAATTACTGGTGGTAGGACCTCTAGTGATTCCGCACGGCTAGGTACCACCGCTCTGCCTATTTCTGTCGTGAAGCAGTAATGCGTTTCAGTTTGAAGGATGGGGCAGCCGCTGTAACTATACTGGGAACTTATAACTCATATCTCATGGTGGGTGGCGGCATTTACATTGTAGATGTCTATGGGCTCCAGTACTTAACAACAGGTGAGCTGTGAGCTCGTCCATACATCAAAGGCAAAAAAACCGAAGTGTCATGTAAAATTTTACTTAGAATTTCGTGGCCTAATAAATAAGACGCCCGGAGGACTGGTATTGAGGGATGTCAGTGTTCCCACTCCGCAGACCAGTAAAGACCGTTCTAAAGAGATACTAAGGACATACTCACGAGCGAATAGCGTCGTGTAATTAAAATCGAATATACTAGTAAGTCAGATTTCGCGTAAGTACTGGTGGTTCTGTGTACTAGAGGTGGTGAGGATAATTCGGACCCTCCTTTTCTACAAAAGGACTCTGTATTTCTCTGTGTTTCGTACCGTATGTACCGTGGAGAGTGCTCTGAGGATTTGTTATATCCCTCAATTTTCTTTTTACCATCACACCTCCCGCCATCGAAGCAGAGTACATCCACCAGCCACCCTTCACAGGGTTTCTCGGGCGCTATGACATATTTTTCTTCAAACCAGATTTGCGAAGAGTACTCGCCGATGGACAGGGATTTAGCTGTTCCTATGGCACTGCTAACGTTCATTAGTGATGGTAACTACTCATCATCTGCTGAGCTAATGTGATCGTCTAATTACAAGCGCTACAAAAAACTAAATGCCCTTTTAAAGCAGTAAAAAGCTTACGTATCAACACTGGAGAATCGGTCGGCCTGCTCTGTTCCGGCAGGGTGAGGTGGGGCTGCACGGACGCAGGGAAGGCCCGCCTCGGAGTGTTCCTGCTCGAATGTGACCAGGTCTTGCTGCGTAAAGCCAGCTGGGAGCAATGAACACAGTATATGGTGTATAGGCAATCAAAATGTATGGTCACTATAGTGGCGCTGTCGATACTTCCAAAAATCACGCCTTAAATTCATGTACTTCCATGACCTTCTTCAAACGAGGACTGTGAAGAGTACTTAAGGGTGGGCAGCGGTTTGGCTTTGCCCCTGGCATTTCTGGAGTCCATGGGCGACGGTAACCACTCACCATCAGGTAGGCCGTACGCTCTTCTGGCTACTAGGTCATTAAAAAAGGAAGAAAAAATATACAACCGACTTCGACCTAATGTCATATGATTTATGGTGGATTTTGCGTTGCGATTTCTATGGACTCCTGTGAGCTCCAGTTGGAGCCCTCGTTCACCCATCTATGTGTATATGGGGATTTGTTCATATCCAGTAACGTAGTGGTGCTCAAAGTAAGCATCGCGACTCAGAGGCTGCCCGAAAAGTTTTTGGGGGTTGCCAGTTTTTTTATTTTTCATACGATTTAGCAACTTGCAACTGTACCACTCCCTCTCTATATCTTTTACTGGTAGGGTAGGACCTCTTGTGAGTCATGAAGCAGTAATGCGTTTCGGTTTGAAGGGTGGCGCAGCCGTTGTAACTATACTGAGACCTCAGACCTCATATCTCAAGACGGGTGGCTGTGAGCTCGTCCATCCATCTAAGCAATAAAAAAAAATTATCCCGGGGTCACCAAAAATTTGCACAGCGGTAATGTTTCAAAGACTCCAAGATCAATAGACTGTGTAAATATTGAAGATCCTCTTTGCAATAACAGGAGTGTGCGGATATTTACCTGAGGGCTCGCCGGCTCCGCATTCGGCAGCAACGGTGGGACCAGTAAGACCCTGGAATCCCAGCAGAGGGCCAGCTCGAATTTGTTCAGTAGTGAGACGCCTAAGGAGCTGGCCTCCTCCCCGCGCGCTAACATGGGTGAAGCTTTGAAGACATGCGCTAAATCCTCGATCTTCATTATACCTAAAATTAAACCACGCTGTACCAACGGGCCGTTGCGTCAAAGCCCACTAGTCTGGTAAAAGCTCCCCAGCTATTGAGGCAGGGCTGATTAGTTGCTGGTATGCTAAGCTTTTGTATGGTGCCATGATAATATAGAACTGTCGTCCTCAACCCGGAAACATTTACATATTTAAAGGAGATATACTTGGTACGTTTTTAGGATTTATAATTGGGGCAGGGTGATTAGTTGCTAATGCGCTGAGTTTTTGTATGGTGCCACGGTAATAGATACTTGTCGTCCTTACAAGACAGTTACTAATACCACCAATCAATACCGGGACAGTCTGCAGCAAATGAAAAAATGTCTTACCGTTATTCGCAAAAGGGTTAATCTCCCTTATAGTGACGACGTGTGAGAGCACGTCGCAGAGCCACTGCGGCTTAAGGAAGTACAGCTGCTTGAGGCTGGCGTCGTCATAATGCAGGAGCACTCCTGGTTGGGGGAACAGTAACTGAAATATCTGTTCAATAATCTTTTTTTTTATTGCCGTGTAGGCAGACGAGCTTACGGCCCACCTGATGGTGAGTGGTTACCGTCGCTCATGGACGTCAGCAATGCTAGAGGCAGAGCCAAGCCGCTGCCTACCGTTTAATACAAGCCTCTATTGAAGAAGGACATGTCATAGCGCTCGAGAAACACCGTGGAGGGGAGTTCATTCCATAGCCGGATGGTACGTGGCAAAAAAGATCTCTGCAAACGCACTGTGGATGAACGTAGTGGCTCCAGGTAGTATGGATGAACTCTACTCCGGTGGCGGGCGGTGCGATGGTAAAAGCGAGATGTCGGTATCATCTCGAACGATTCCTCAGAGCACCGGGTAATCGTAATCTGACCGGTAACCAATACCAATCGGGTTGTGGTGAGCCCTACGCTCGAGCATCAAGCTAGAATCTTCGACGGTACTCGCCAGTTCTTTTGTTCGAATAAATTCGGGTTAGATGGATGCTCCGGTATTAACTACCAAGCTTATCTTGATAATGTAATGTGTGTAAGCGAGATTCAGGCATCTGTCATCTTGCGTTGTATGACAGCTACCCGCCACAAGGTCTTCAAAGTCAAATGCTTTATTGCCATAAAGCATCATGTAATTTAGTCGTCGTGGCCTAAAGGATAAAACGTCCGGTGCATTCGTATGTAGCAATGCACCGGTGTTCGAATCCCGCAGGCGTACTCAACAAATGTTCGCGATTGACTTCCACGGTGAAGGAATAACATCGTGTAATAAAAATGAAACCCGCAATATTAATTTGCGTAATTACTGGTGGTAGGATCTCTTGTGAGTCCGCACGGGTAGGTACCACCACCCTGCCTATTTCTGCCGTGAAGCAGTAATGCGTTTCGGTTTGAAGGGCGGAGCAGTCGTTGTTACTATAAAAACTGAGACCTAAGAACAAGTGGCGGCATTTACGTTGTAGAAGTCTATGGGTTCCAGTAACCACTTAACACCAGGTGGGCTGTGAGCTCGTCCACCCAAAAAAAATCAGCATTTGAACGAGCTAATCTCAAGAACTACGTGTTCGAATTGCATTATAGACACATTACACATATACAAACAATGTTTCCCCTGGTTAAGTCCGCGAGATTTTAAATTTGTACAGTCCTGCAGTCACTGTGTCCTCATTTGTCGCGCATCTTTCAAACCTGAGTGGGTGATTGTTTGCGGCGTAAATAGGCAGAATGGTGGTAGCTATCCTTGCGGGTTCATAACGATCGCCATCACAAATAAATGCAGAATGGTGACCGCAGTCTGTTTGGCCAAATCCTCAAAGACCCCTGCTGCTCATCCAGCGAATCACTTGAGCACTTTTAAAGATGCTCGCGCCAAGAATGGGGTGTGTTTTTTTAGGCCCCAACACAGCCGATCAGCTGACATGTCCAGTTATTTTATTATTTTTAAAGCCTTTGACCATATGACCATACGCTCCACCTTATTGAGTGATTACTATCGCCCATGGACGTTAGCAATGCCAGGGCTAGAGCCAAGCCGCTGCCTAACGGCCAAGCCATTGTCTACCGAACTCGCAAACTCACCGTTTTCATGAAGGAACATCGTGGCCTGATGCAACTCGGCCGCGTCCCGGAACATTCTGTGGTTCTTCTGCTGCATATATTGGGTCACCTGGGAACGATCGCCGGGTATCGCTTAACGATGATGACCGACTTCTAAGGCGTCAAGTCGCCAGGATTGTCCTAAACTTTCATCGTCACGATCTTAAAATTTAAGTAGCTTGACAAAGTAAGCGCGGTGACCCACTGAGATATCAGGGTGCGTTAATATAATCTAAATTAACTGGTCTATATAAGTTTTTTGCAGTAAATGGGTCCAAAAGATAGCGGCCCGTTTTCAGAGATAAGGATGAAGTCCCTACAGCATTATCTGGGTGGACGAGCTCACAGTCCACCTGGCCATAGACATCTACAAAGTAAATGCGCTACCCACCTTGAGATATAAGTTCTAAGATCCTGAAATGAGACCTTACAACTTATATCTCAAGGTGGGTGGTGCATTTACGTTGTAGATGTCTATGGGCTCCAGTAACCACTTAACACCAGGTGGGCTGTGAGCTCGTCCACACATCTAAGCAATAAAAAAAATAAAAAAAATCTGAGTATAGTTAGTTACAACGGCTGCCCCACCCTTCAAACCGAAACGCATTACTGCCTCACGGCAGAAATAAGCAGGGCGGTGGTACCTACCCGTGCGGACTCACAAGAGGTCCTACCACCAGTAAAAACCACCTCCTTGCGTTGATAACCCTCAATGCTGAGGGTCGTGGCCTCATGAGGCTTTCTTCGGAAAATACGCATGGTGGGGTCCCGCGTGCTTCCATGGCGGTACTATTACCACCACCCTGCATATTTCTGCCGTGAGGCAGTAATACGTTCCGATTTGAAGGATGGGGCAGCCGTTGTAACTATACTTGAGACTTTAGAGCTTATATCTCAAGGTGGGTGGCGCATTTACGTTGTAGATGTCTATGGGCTCCAGTAACCACTTAACACCAAGTGGGCTGTGAGCTCGTCCACCCATCAAAACAATAAAAAATAAAAAAAGGAGGCCACGACCCTCAGCACTGAGGGTTATCGACGCAAGGAGGATCACGTTGAGGTTGAAGCTGTAGCTTCACAGACCGGGTACCCTGAACTCGACTATCTGACCACGCCCTCACCAGTCTCCGGTACTCGTCGTGGCTCAGCACCGGCTCCCGGAGGTCGGCAGCCAGTGACGTCACACACTCCTCTAAGGCCAGGTACGTTGCTGGAATCTTCTGCTCTAGAAGTGGCTCCTTGCTGCCTGGGAGACGGAAGAGAACTTACATGGTATCGAGTTTAGGAGATACCGTGGAGGGGAGCTATCTTTTTATTTATTGCCCTTGCAGGCTGACGATCATATGGCCCATCTGATGGTGAGTGGTCGCTCATAGACTTCAGCAATGCCAGGGGCAGAGCCAAACCGCTGCCTACCGTTAAGTACTCTCCACAAGCCTCGTTTGAAGAAGGATATGTCATAGCGCTCGGGAAACACCGTGGAGGGGAGCTCATTCTAAAGCCGGATGATACGTGGCAAAAACGATCTCTGGAAACGCACTGTGGATATCATATACGACAACAATGGAATCAAAGTGGCAGTCATTCAATATTAGTTACGTCGTCGTAATTCAGACATCTATCAAATATCTTGTGTTCTATGATTGCTACCATATCATGACATACCATCAATGATGAATTTCCAGAAACGATCTGTTTTATGCTCTTATGCGGTCGATCATACGGTCGACCTGATGGTGAGTTGTTGCCGTCGCCCATGGACTTCAGCAATGCCAGGGGCATAGCCAAGCCGCTGTCTACCGAAATACCAATAAACCCCGCATTAGCAACCCTGACTCCAGGACGCTGACGTCAGAGTTGCTCTTGTCTCGAATCCGTCACTCACCAGGAGGCTTCACGCTGAACGCCACGGAGTAAATGATGTCAGCCAGCAGCCTTATGTTGTGTCGTGTGCTGCAAGATATCTGTAAGAGCACAGGGCTTGTGACGTGGATATTAAAAAGACTATCAGAGTAGACTGTCAGTTACTGGTGGTAGGACGTCTTGAGTCCGCGCGGGTAGACACCACCGCCCTGCCTATTTCTGCCGTGAAGCAGTAATGTGGTATGAAGGGCGGAGCACGTTGTAACTATAATCAGACCTTAGAACTCATATCTCAAGGTGGGGCGGGCATTTACGTTGTAGGTGTCTATGGGCGCCGTTAACCACTTAAAACCAGGTGTGCTATGAGCTCGTCCACCTGTTTAAGCAATAAAAAAAGACGAAAAGACTGGCTTGTTGCTTACCTCGACCGAATCCATTACCCGAGGCAGACCAAGTTTGTCGGCATCAGGCGCCCCCATGATCGAGGATCTAATGAGACGCTGCAAGACCTCTGGACTCTCGCTTTCAGGCAAGTTGCTCTGTACCGTAAAATCGTAATTGCTTATTACCCCTTGTAAGTAATAACTGGGAACAAAATCTCGCACGGTCATCTGACTCTAAAACGCCAGGATTCCCTGTGTTACGTATACCAGATACTGCTAAACATATTGTTACGTTGGTAAGAGTAACGCCATCTATCGCCGAATAGCCGAACGAATATCGAAGGTACGAGTAAAATCGAGACAACGCCATCTATTGTCAGACAGCAGAAACACACGTCGAACATACTCGACTTGCCCAGAATGTACTCGATAAATCTAGGGATGTCGTGTTGACTATAAAAGCGTTGCAGAGATGGCACGCAGTCAGTTAGTATCACCTGAAGCGAAGCGGAAGAAGTATAAAGTGTTCGTTAAGTGTTTTAAGTTAAATAGAGTTTCAATTTATACTTGCGTAGAATTTTTATTTAACACGAACCCCAGCGCGTAACAATATTTATATTCGTTTAATTATATACATTACTAGCGGCCTGCTCCGGCTCCGATCGGGCCTTGAACAAAAATTTCAACGATATTTGACATTGTTTTATTTTTTTTAATAAAAGAACACTTATTGCGGCATAACTATAATAGTTAAACATATGCTGTCGCGACACTTTTTGTAAATAATAATGTGTTCTACAAAGTCGTAGTACATTATTTTATTCAATGATCAATAGTTTTCGCAGGGCACGCGATGTAAAGAATATTTTAGAAAAAATTTTTACACTTTGGGTTACATTATAGGAGTTTTAGTAAGGATCCCTAAATTTTTTCAAAAAAGATTATAACCTATGTCACTTGGGAATAGTGTAGCTTCCAAACAGTGAAGAAAATTTCCAAATACGTTCAATAGTTTCGGAGCCTACAAACAAACAAACAAATAGTTCCCCTTTATAATATTATAGTATAGTATAGAAGTATAGATAAAAACCCAAAGAGCAAACGGATCTGTTCATCACTCGAATGTTTGCCCGATGCGGGAATCGAACCCACGACCCTAGGCGCAACAGTGAGAGCCGCTAACCACTGCACTAACCGAATCGATACATAGATGTCGCAACCGGACAAGAAAAACGAAACGAAAGCGCGCCATCTAATGGATAGGAGCCGCAACTGAGCGTCAAACATCGGCTTCCTTCAGGTGGCGTGCTTTGGTAGAGTCGAGGTGTCATCGCTCGAGTGGAATCGAAGCACATTCGTTGCGTGACTTAGGAAGAGTGAAGACGTCTCCGAAATGTCAAGCTGCGCAAGCTTTTTGCACGACTACCCACCTTACGCCGACTTTGTCAAGAAATAATGAAAATATCGACCCATTCTGTGACATATATATTACATATCCATAGAGTCAAACAAATACTGGTGGTAGGACCTCTTGTAAGTCCGCACGTGTAGGTACCACCGCCCTGCCTATTTCTGCCGTGAAGCAGTAATGCGTTTCGGTTTGAAGGGTGGGGCAGCCATTGTAACTATACTGAGGCCTTAGAACTTATATCTCAAGGGAGTGGCGGGATTTAGGTTGTAGATAGCTATGGACTCCAGTAACCACTTAACACCAGGTGGGCTGTGAGCTTGTCCACACAACTAAGCAATAAAAAAAAACTTTGACTTACGTTGGCAACTTGATCGTAGTGCGTTGCGACCATTATAACAGGCGAACCAGGGGCGCGGGCTTGTATAGATCTGAAATTAAACGCGACCTCGTGTAAATTATTGTGACCTCGACCTCATATCTCAAGGTAAACGACGGGAATTAAGTTGTGATGTCCATGAACTCCGATAAACCCTTAAACACTAAACGCGTTGTAAGGTCATAACCGGAGGTAATTATGTTAACTACACGTATCTATTTCAGCTAGCAATCACACATTACGGCTCAAAACGTGAGACAATCGTGGTCCAATGTAATTGAGACTTTAACCTCGCGCGTCAACTTACTCCGTAGCTGGTGACCAGATTTTTTATTCCCTAAAACAATAAGTCACATTGAATTGAGAGGAATGGTGAATGAAAACTTACCGCAGCCAGTTCAATGCGCCAGCCAGGCCTCTTTTCCCTTCCGTCACCTTCCACACGACCAGGTAAAGGGAGCGACGCGACAGAAAATACTGATGCGTTGCGTAGTACCTTCAAGAAACGGGGGAACCGGACTTAAAGTCGTCGTGGCCTAAAGGATAAGACGTCCGGTGCATTCATGTTGAAGCGATGCACCGGTGTTCGAATCCCGCAGGCGGGTACCAATTTTTCTAATGAAATACGTACTCAACAAATGTTCACGATTGACTTCCACGGCGAAGGAATAACATCGTGTAATAAAAATGAAACCCGCAAAATTATAATTTGCATAATTACTGGTGGTAGGACTGCTTGTGAGTCCGCGCGGGTAGGTACCACCGCCCTGCCTATTTCTGCCGTAAAGCAATAATGCGTTTCGGTTTGAAGGGCGGGGCAGCCGTTATAACTATAACTTAGAACTTATATCAAGGTGGGTGGCGCATTTACGTTGTAGATGTCTATGGGCTCCAGTTACCACTTAACACCAGGTGGGCTGTGAGCTTAACCACCCATATAAGCAAAAAAAACGATTTTTTCATACGATAATAATAATAAACACGAGTTTCAAACGTAAAAGCAGTAAAAAGTACTCACTCCTGTTGTCCCCCGAAGTCCCAGGTCCTGAATGTGATGGGTCCCCTGGTGGACCGATGTTTTTCGTACACCCAGGTACCGATGTCCACGCCAACGGTTGACACGTTCCCACGGCTCGACTTGTTCCCCATGCGCTTAGCCCAGTGCTGGGTGACAGACATGGACTCTTAGTTTTCCATATAGCATGAGTGGAAGACCTCAAGTGACAGAGGACTATCGGAGCGCAAGATGTGAGGTTAAAATGTAAGTCCTATAACAATAGTCCCCATCCTTCAAATAGGAATGTCGGATTGTTCCGCGGTTGAACAACGCAGGGTGGTGGTACGTATCCAACCCAGCCTCATTGTGTTCTACCATCAGTAAATTAGCAGTACACTGGTAAAGCACTCAGAGAGCTGCTGTCAATTCTCCAGCTTATCCCTTAGTCGCTTACCACATCTACTAGAAGAGTTTGGGGCTGCTATTCTAAACCATTAAATAAACATAAAGGATCTAAAAATTACAACATATTGTTACGCCGGTAAGAACAACACCATCTATCGTCGAATAGTAGAAACGAATACCAAAAGAAATAGTAACGACAAAAACGCTCGAGAAGTACAACGCCATCTATTGTCGAATGGCGGAAACGCATATCGAAAATACTCGACTTTTGAGGAATGTTCTCGATAGTTCTAGAGATGTCGTATCGACTATAAAAGCGTTGCAGGGATGGCACGCAGTCAGTCAGTAATCGGAACTACTCGAAGCGAAACAGCGAACGGATCACCTGAAGCGAGACGGAAGAAGTGAAGTTCGTGAAATGTTTTAAGTTAATTAGAGTTGTAATTTGCACTTCGGCAGAATTTTTATTTATCCTGAACCCCAGCGCGTAACAATAATAAATAAGTCGAGACGGCTTGAACGAAAATAAAATCTTCAAGCAAAACATTTCAATACAATCTGGAATCTTACAGGTGGTAGGACCTCTTGTGAGTCCGCACGGGTAGGTACCAACACCCTGCCTATTTCTGCCGTGAAGCAATAATACGTTTCGGTTTGAAGGGTGGGGCAGCCGTTGTAACTATACTTAAGACTTTAGAACTCAAGGTGGGTGGCGCATTTACGTTGTAGATGTCTATGGGCTCCAGTAACCAGTTAACACCAGGTGGGCTGTGAGCTCGTCCACCCTTCTAAGCAATAAAAAAAAGGTAGGTAACCGAAGTTATGCTTCTGATCAAATTGATGGTAATTCCAGACCGTACCTCAGCTGGTTTCCTCCGATGCTGTAGACCAGACTCCTGCCTCAGGCACTCCAATAGACTGGTCTTGCCAATTCCCTGTGAATATTGAGTTGTGAAAGAATTATTTATTGGAAGAAGTAACATCTGCATAATCCTCAAAATCATAACAATATAAATATTATTACTGAGTCCAGGCAAGCCCCGACCAAGACCCAGCGCGAAACTATAAAAACGATCCCTCTTAGTTTTTTTTTCCTACCTAAGCAGAGAGCCTTGAGAGGCTATATCAGCGTAGCCTTAACTAGTAGGTGAGCTCACGGGGCTCAAACCTGACGACGTTGCTAACACGAACCCTAGCAAGAGCCGTGTTTCGCAGAATCTACCACCGGATCGGAAACGCGACCCACTGAGAAGATCCGGCGAGAAACTCAGTGGGCTGTGTCTGAGGGTTAATTTACTCGTCGAGCCCTTCGTCGCAAGCGACGGATTCGACGAGAACGATGACCGGGTCGATCCCTCGCTGCGCCTTTACCTCATTTTGTGCGTGCGTTCGTGCATGCGGTTCTTGTTGAAACATGTTTGGGACTTGTGTAATTTTAACAGTTTTCGTTAATGGTGGATTGAAATCATTTTGTTAGAAGTTTTGGTTGATTCAGTGAAATATAATTAGGCCAGTTCTGTGTAATTTATTTCCGTTTTTTTAACTACCTCACTTCTGGTCGATAATAATACAATATCGACGAGACCTCGTAACTATAGATCGACGGGGGTATTCAGGTTGTTATGTCCATGGACTGTAGTAAGCACTTAGCACCAGGTGTGCTCCTTAACCCACAAAAATCTAATGAATTGCCCTCGCAACGTCTAGAAAGTTCTCGAAAGGAACCGACCTGTAACCCGACCAGCATCAGCTTCATGGAGCTGTACGGCCTGGCCTCCTGCAGCACCGACTTCAGGTAGCCGACGATGTCCATGCTCTTGTAGTTGCCGCCCCTCAGCATCGACAGCAAGGGCTCGCCGAGGGAGCAGCCCACGGTGTTGAGGTTCCAGAGACGGGACAGCAGACCCATTTGAGGCGGCAGTTCTGTTATGCCTGGTCCGACGAGATGTGTGATTGTAAGCCAAGAGACCGGTGTAGTTAGGGCGAGTTTTTTAACGTTCTCGATAACGTAAGAGTTAACTCAAATTTGTATGGAGTTGGAACGTTTGCCTACTAAGCAGACTGAGGTGGCAATGGGCTGGCTATATTAGCCGGAGAAGTGATAACCGTTGTGGTAAACGTCTTCTTGAGTGAAGACCGCGAATTTGTAGTGCAAGATGCCTTCATGATCGGTGGAATGACGCTCTATGCAAGACTGACAGAAGCTGGATGAGAGAAACTAAGAATCATGCTTAGTGGCGTGCAATTTATTTTTAAATGCCTTTGTAGGCAGATGGGCACACGGCTCACCTTATGGTAGTTTGCCGTTAGGGGCGCTGTTCCAACAAAAAAATTGAGTTAACTTTTACGCTATCGAGAACGTTAAAAAACTCGTACTGAGCACACAGCTGATGTTAACGACTCTGGTCTTTCGGGTCGTTAACCGGTAAATGCTGGTTTGAGACCTAACCCCTAGACCTATTGCTTCTATTATTTCAATGCCTTGGACGGCAGACTACGCGCTGTGGGCGTATTTAAGATTATTTGGTATCGACGCATTTATTTCCCGCATATTAATATAGAAATCTATTTGTGATCAAAAGTGTAATTGGCTTACTATATTTTGAATATTCACTGTCATATCTAGTTACTGCTTCTCTTGGTAAGCTGTTACATTTCTAAATAAAACTATATTGTAAAGAGCAGACCAATGACAGACACTAAGAACAAATAAAATACCTGCATTGACAGTTCTTGTCACGAAATTATCTTAAAAGGAACAATCCTTGATTCCGATCCGTCAGTAAGGATAATTCGCCTAAGGTATCGCTAGTCATTCCACCAGGTTAGAGATAAAAACTCTTAACTGGACTACACAAAAATATTAGCTTTACATAAATTTGTATTGTATTGCTTCTTTGTTGTGACACGCAATGTAATAAAATGTTACGCCGGTAAGAGCAACGCCATCTGTCGTCGAATAGCAGTAACGAATATCAAATGAACTAGTAAAGTCGAGAACGCTCGAGAAGCACAACGCCATCTATTGAAAATGGCGGAAACGCATATCGAAAATACTCGACTTGTGAGGAATGTTCTTGATAATTCTAGGGTTGTCGTATCGACTATAAAAGCGTTGCAGAGACGAAAAAAGGCAGTTAGTAATCGAAGCTACTCGAAGCGAAACAGCGAACGGATCACCTGAAGCGAAGTGGAAGAAGCGAATTGAAAATTTTAGTGTTCGTTAAGTGTTCTAAGTGTTAATACAGGACCAATTTGTACTTCGGTAGAATTTATATTTATCCCGAACCCCAGCGCGTAACAATAACTAAATTCTACGACCTTGAGTGACGTGGAGTAAGAGTCGATTAAAATAACAAAACTTTCGTACCTTTATTTCCGCTTATATTCAAAACTGAGAGATTCGTAAGCTCGTGTATGGCCGGTGGAACACTCTTCAGCATGTTACAGGAGACGTCCAGCATTGAGAGGAGAGGGAACAGCAGACGACCCTTGAGGCTTGAGGTTGTGTTCTGGAAAACAGGTATTAGAAAGATGCATTGGCCATATTAGCCATGGGTCTTGGATCATAATACCTCTAGACAGTACATTATATGGTTATCAAGGAGCTAAAAATGAGGTCATGAGGTCAAATTCGCCCAGCAATTACGTGTAATTGGAGGACCCACATACTAGCCTCACTGATTACTAAGTTATAGTCGTGACGAATAGATAAAATGTTTTTTTAGCAAAAATCTGTGTAGCTTTACCGACATTTTCACAACTTTTCAAGGCAAGCTTGGCAACGATATTGTCACTGTCAGTATACTGAGCAACGTTATCAGTCCGCTGAAAGATCGCCTTTTTGTCGTTACCCAGAAACCAGTACGCAAACCACCTTTTTATTAAGAGACAGTCTGCCAATTCCGGCTTTGTAGAGAATCATCTTTGGCGCACGCTAACAGTCCGGTATCGCCGACAAAGTCCTATAAACCGGATGAAATCTGGAAAGCCAGGCATTTCTTCTGTCAGAACAGTCGTAGTTAAGTTGCATCAATTAAATATTTGTCTAGATACTAACTCGAAAGATAAGAAAAGGTAACGTGAAACGCCCCTAGCTAGGGGTGGCGATGACCTCCGAACGGTGGCCGGGAGAGGTGCATGAGGAGAGCCGAGGACCGGGCTCAGTGCTGTAAGTTAGGAGCGGCCTATGTCCAGCAGGAGACGACTGTGGGCTGATGATTATGATGATGATAAGGACTCGAAAGATAGGTAGCATTTATCTCAATATAAAGGCAAGTGAACAATAGCGCACAGCACGACTGCTCGTTTTTTTGATTGCCGTAGCAAGCGGACGAGCATACGTCCTCCCGATGGTGAGTGGTTACCGTCGCTTATGGACGTCAGCAATGCCAGGGGCAGAGCCAAGCCGCTGCCTACAGCTTAATACTCTCCACAAGCCTCGTTTGAAGAAGGACATGTCATAGCGCTCGGGAAACACCGTGGAGGGACGCTCATTGTCATAGCGCTCGGGAAACACCGTGGAGGGACGCTCATTCCAACTACTCCGGTGGCTGGCAGTGCGATGGTAAAAACGAGATGATGGTAGCATCTCAAACAATTCCTCAGAGCACACATTTTCATCAGGCGAGGTTTCAAAAGACCCTAACAGGCATCAGCTTGGATTGGTCCGTGACGTGTTCTGCGATGGTATGATCCGCCGATGACACTAAAGATAAGAATAGTAATAGTAAAAGCCACTCTCTGGTGAGTGAGGGTTAACAAGTGTTCTCACCCAGTCGTCGGTGTCGTCCGTGTTGGAGTCGTCTGGAGCATTGGCCGTGCAGCCGTCACCATCGGTCGTCAACTGGATCCGGTTCAGCTGGTTGTTGGCTAATATCTGGAACGAGGGGATTAATTACTTCTGTGATGTTCTGGTCACGGTTGACGGGCTCAGGGCCCTCCTGGTTTTAAGTGGTTACTGGAACACATAGATATCAACAACGTAGAGTCCGTCACAGAAATTGAAACATGAGTTCCAAGTCTCATTTTACAATACAACGGCTGACCTACCCTTCAGACCGAAACGCATTAGTGCTTCACGGCAGAAATAGGCAGGGCGGTGGTAGCTGCCCACGGGGACTTACATCACGTCCTAATGACAATAATTACGCGAATTATATTTTTTGCGTGTTTGCTTTATATTACACGATGTTATTCCTTGACCGTGAAAGTCAATCGTGAACACTTGTTAAGTATGTATTTCATTAGGCAAATCGGTACCCGCCTTTTTTTTAATGGTTGGGAATCTGTTTACGGATACCCGGTCGATAGGGATAAGAGACTGCGTTATGTGGGACTCCGGCGCCTCCAGAGAGAAAGAGGGAGAAGAGGGAGACCGAGGTCCCCTCTTCTTCCAATTCTTGCCGAGAGACTGCGCCTTGAAAAAGAGGTGCAAAGCGCTGCGCAGCGTCAGTCACACAAGGCCCACCTTCAAAACAGATTATTGAGTAAACCCCATCGAGCTCCACCACTGCGACTCCACTAAATCCACGTTACCGCATAGCGCGCGCCAAAAATTCGCTTTCGCCGATACCCGTCCTGATAATAGGACGGGTTTTAACCCCCGGGAAGATCCCTTAGAACGTCGTCTCGGGAGAAAATGGAAAATAGGAAAAAAACGGTACCAGAATGTAGGATTTAAGCACCGGCTCAGTCGCATCCAAAGTCTTCAGGGCCAACGGTTGGATCGGTTGAAACTGACCTTATTTGCTGAACACGTAGCAAATCGATATTCTTAAGCAAACTCACCAAAGTCCGCAGCCCTTCGAGCCTAAGATGCCTCCTGGCGGGGCAGGCCGCGTTCAGTAGCTGCGATCTGACCGACCCCCCGGAACGAGGCCGGGACCGCCCGCCCTGGGGGGTCTTACAGTAACACGCCAGGGGATCGTCATCTGACGTACCGAAGTTCTCCACCTGTTTTAATTTATTGAAGTTATACTTCTTTAGGCGCGTTATGAAAAATTTATGAGAGTGAAATTTTACGATGCGCGCGCACCGTGACACAAAATTAACAGAATGAAGTTGCCCACTAAATCGCTCATTACAATATAACCGACGTAACTTGGCGAGTCTGAATATAGCCGCAGGTGAACTTTCGCGCATGTACACTCGTAAAAAAAAGTGTTATTAGCATTAATTTTTTAGTAATATAAATCACAAATTTATTATTTAATATAATTCATACTAAATATTATTAAATTATTAACGTTAAATATTTATGATTAATTATTTAATATTAAAAAAAAAAAAAAAAATTTAATAAAAATAAAGTATAACTTCTTACGCGCTTACATAAGTACACGCACCCTTTTTGTAGTATTAAAAGCAACTGCACAATGGAACACAAATTAGAATCGCTTGGGTATATGAAAAGACCCAAAGTTGGCAACTAGGGATGAGATATTATTCACAAAGAATTAAGGACTTCTTAAAAGGATATTACGCTAAGCTTGGCTGTGGCTATTCTAAATGTTCACTGGAGTGCACAGACAAATAGCGTGCACGCCATTTTTAGATAATCATAGCCACCGTTGTCTGTATAGCAGTTGCCCTATCTTATCATTATTAAAATCTGCATTGCTATTTTGCGGTAGATCGGGCTTGAGGTATACCCATAGACACAGCCCACTGAGTTTCTCGCCGGATCTTCTCAGTGGGTCGTGATTCCGATCCGGTGGTAGATTCTGCGATGCACTGGGGCTAGTGTTAGCAAGCACTGGTAGGACCTCTTGTGAGTCCGCGCGGGTAGGTACCACCACCCCTCCTATTTCTGCCGTGAAGCAGTAATGCGTTTCGGTTTGAAGGGTGGGGCAGCTGTTGTAACTATACTTGAGAAAATGGAAATATTAAAAAATGTAATTTTAAGATATGATATATTGTAATTTATTAATGTAAATTTTTATATTGGTAATGTAATCATTAGATAACGTAAAGAAAATGTAAACATAATTATATAAAATGTACAACGAAAAATGTGACAGATAGACAATGGAATGCGTATAAGAAGTGAAAATGAAAATATATCGGAAAAAAGTGAAGAAATAAAATGTATAATAATAGGCATATAAGTAAAATATAAGGGAATTAAAGTATAAGTATAAGAAGGGAACAGAAACGAATATTATATAATTATGGAAAACGAAACATGAATCCAACATATAAAAAAAAAAAAAAAAACTATACTTGAGAACCTTAGAACTTATACCTCAAGATGGGTGGCGTATTTACCTTGTAGATGTCTATGGGCTCCAGTAACCACTTAACACCAGGTGGGCTGTGAGCTCGTCCACCCATCTAAGTAAAACAAAAGACAGGTTTAGTTACTGTGTCTCGACACTGACCTGAGGCAAGCTGGGCCAGCAAGTGATCTTGTTGTGACTGAGATCGAGCTGCCTCAAACTGGTTGGGTACGAGGTCACGTAGGACATCGATCTGAAAACGATTTTAAGTCTTAATTTAGTAGGAACACTATTAAATATAAATCATTTTTTGGTAACGATCATTAACGGTAGGCGGCGGTTTGGCTCTGGCCATGGCATTGCTGATGTCCATGGGCGACGGTAACCACTCGCCTTCAAGTGGGCGCACACAACTGAGCAATAATAATAAATAAAAAACGGGAACGTTAAAAAGCTCGCACTAAGCACACTGTCCGCTATTTTACACGCTTTACATTAGCTTCACTTGTATGTATGTTTGTATGTATGTAAATGACTCTTTTAGACGCGATTTTGACCCACTTTAAACGGCCAGATTTCATTCAAACTTTGTAGATTTATCGAGGACCGATAAAAATTCAATATAAAAAAAAAAAAATTTAAAAATATATTAAAAAAATTGAAATTCAACTAAAAATTAAAAATATTGAAAAAATATATTAAAAAAATTGAAATTCAACTAAAAAATTGAAAATAAATTTTAATAAACTTAAATTGAAAATAGTGTAAAATATATATAATATATATTTTATTGTAAAAAAAAGCGTGGGGTGCATGGTGTTATTAGTTATAAATATTTTTCTGACAGATTTCTGTCTGACAGACAGTAGAAGACTTATTATTTCAATAATATCTTTAAAAAATCTTAAAAAGCACCCCACGCTTTTTATGAAATAAAATAAAAAAACTTTTTACACTATTTTCAATTTAAATTTCTTAAAATTTATTTTCTATTTTTAGTTGAATTTTATATAATGCGTATTTTTTTGTTTTTTTAAACTATTATTTTTCATTAATATCCATAAATAAGAAGTGTAACTTCTCAAACGCGCACACGTGCCTTTTATTTATTATGATTTAAAACTAATTATTAACACGGAAGTAAGCCTGAGCATTTCGAGACAACATATAGTCTCGGTCTCACCTGAGAGAGTTGTAGGACATGTTCAGTCGCTTAAGGTTGTGAGCCCTGCAGGCCAGCGCGGGGGGGAGGCAGGTGAACTGGTTGTGCGACAGGTTGAGAGCGGCGAGGGGGCTACCCTCAAGTGACGTCACGCCCGCCTGTACAGCGCCGCGCCACGCGTGCACGCGACGCGCCTCCGTGCAACTAAATACAGTCTTATAGTAAACATACGCTTCATACCTTAGTCGTCATTATGTCTATTAGAGAGAGGGAGAGTGAGGGAAAGAGAGAGGGAGGGAAAGAGAGAGCGGGAGGGAAAGAAAGAGAGGGGGAGGGAATAGAGAGAGAAAGGGGGAGAGAGAGAGGGGGAGGGAATAGAGAGGGGGAGAGAGGGAGAGAGAGTATTCTATACTGTACAGTGTACACCAAAAAAATAAACAATGTACAATTGGCGGTCTTATCGCTAAGATCTCTTCCAGATAACCACTAGGTGGGCAAGTTTATGAATGTACATACAAATATGAACAATGTAATAATAATTTTGCTTCTTCCACACAATAAATAAGAATAAGCAATTTACATAATATATAAAATATACTTAAAATACCTATAAAACATAAATATACAATTGAAGTGAATACCAATTTCAGAATCTTCATCACAAATTAAACTGGTTGACAGCTAATTGTTATAATGATGTCCCTAATGAGACGCTTGAAAGAATTTAATGTTTCAGCATGTCGTATACATATTGGGAAAGCATTCCACAAAAGCATAGCTTGAACGGTGAAGGAATTATTGTAAAACCTTGTCGATTTAACTATTAGCCTCTGAAAGCCCCTTAATATTAGACAGGCTCGCCTGACAATACAGTGCGATACGAAAATCTTTTTTTTTAATTTTTATTACCAAGATTATTTTTTTATTGCTTAGATGGGTGGACGAGCTCACAGCCCACCAGATGTTAAGTGGTTACTGGAGCCCATAGAAATCTCCGACGTAAATGCGCCACCCACCTTGAGATATAAGTTCTAAGGTCTCAAGTATAGTTACAACAAATAATAAATTAAATATCTGAGATACTTACACAGCATTGCTACTCCTGTTTCCAATGATCGGGATACCTTCGTCCTCAGAGTCACTCCTGTCGATCGATGGACTAGATGGACTTCGGGACAAGTACTGGAAGATACAGTCAGAGAAACGACTTGAGTTTACCTGTCTTAAGAGGTGAGCTGACAGCGTTTAGGCTATACTAGCGACCCGCCCTCGCTTCGCTTCGTAAACTGTAATTTATTATTGATTTCTCCACTATTTAATGGATGTTATTATACATATAAACCTTCCACTTTAATCACTCTATCTATTAAAAAAAACCGCATCAAAATCCGTTGCGTAGTTTTAAAGATTTAAGCATACATAGGGACAGACAGACATAGGGACAGAGAAAGAGACTTTGTTTTACACTATGTAGTGATGAACCTTGAGGGATGAGGCAGAAGATCCAATTTCCATTACACAAAACCGGTCTTAGAAAAAAATTAATAATAGTTTAAAAAAACTAACAAAATACGCTTTTATAGAAAAACCAATTACAAAAAAGAAAATAAATTTTAATAAATTTGAATTAAAAATTAGTGTAAGAAAAATAGATTTTATTGTAAAAAAAGCGTGTGGTGCTTTTCAGGATATTATCAAAATAACCCTTCTACTCATATCTGTTCATAAAATATTTATAACTACTGATACCATGCACCCCACGCTTTTTTAACAAAAAACTCATTTTTTCTTTTTTAGTTGGTTTTTCTATAAAAGCGTATTTTGTTAGTTTTTTTAAACTTTATTTTTCAATTCAATTTAACAATATTTTTTTTAATATTGATTTGTCATCATTCCTCAATAAGTATACCAAATTTCGAGTTAATCCGACGTTTTGAAGGGGATCAAAATCATGTTCAAAGATTCCGTTACATACTAACATACATACGTCTGAAGCTAATAAAAGCGTATTAACAACTCACCGATGAGCTGTTAAAGTTGAACGGCGATGTCGAGTTGGAAGGCGAGGCGCTTGTCTGCGGTGACTCCAGGGGCGAGGTCGGGGGCAGACCAGGCGACTCTGAGTGATTCTGTTGACAGGGACATTGATTTCCTAATCTATACTAAGCTATTGTAGGGGAATGATACCCCGCCCCGCTTAGCTTACTATGCATTTATTGTACATATAGTAATGAGCAGCATACGTTAGTCAGTCAGTGGTCAACGTGCAGCGATCCACCGCGGTCGCTGACGCGAATAAACATGTAATTATAAGTAATGTTTTATTGACCGCTCCGATGAGGTTCATGGAGGACAACACGCGACAAACAACCAACGCATACGCCTCCTCCTCCTTTATCTCCCAATAAGCCTCACACTATCTACATAAAGCTGAAGAGTTTGTTTGTTTGAACGCGCCAATCTCAGAAACTACTGGTCCGATTTGAATTCAGTATTAGATATTATTTCAGTATTAGATAGCCCATTTATCGAGGAAGGCTATAGGCTATATAACATCACGCTAAGACCAATGCAGGTGGAGCACCAATAAAGAATGTTTCAAAAACGGGTTTTTTCAATTTTGAGAGCTTTTTACTGGTGGTAGGACCTCTTATGAGTCCGCACGTGTAGGTACCACCCCCTTGCCTATTTCTGCCGTGAAGCTGTAATGCGTTTCGGTTTGAAGGGTGGGGCATCCGTTGCAACTCTACTGCGACCTTAGAGCTTATATCTCAAGGTGGGTGGCGCATTTACGTTGTAGATGTCTATAGGCTTCAGTAACCACTTAACACCAGTTGGGCTGGGAGCTCGTCCACCCAACCAAGCAATAAAAAAGGTAGGGGTTCGACTGTTTCCTTGCTGATGTCCATGAGTGACATGGCGCAATCAAAAAAAAAACTAGTATCCAAGTTCCTTTATTTATAATTGATGAGAGAATGTTAAGTAGTTAACTCTTGTTCTCATGTTCTTTTAATTATTACTAATGGTCCCGCAGTAGTCGATATTCGACTATAATTAATAGGAATTGTAAGTTTGTACACTATTATCATTGTATTTTATACTTCTATAATCACAAATTTCGCCAAGACTACACTATAAAAAATATTAACTAACAAAGACAAACAATATTTAATCTATTCTCAATTTGACAACAGACGTCAAGAACAAAAGTTTGACAATAAATAGTATGCATGCGTGTGTGCGTCAAATACATGGTATGTAGTGTGTGTAATGTTTTCTTTATTGATTTAATGTATCTTTTATGCATTATTTAAAAAAAATATTAGCATTGTGCACTTCTTCTCTATAGTCTCTATAAGTGTGGAAAATTTCATACCTACTCCTCCGTCCGCGCAATTTTCGTAAAAAGGGATACAAAGTTTTTGCTTCACGTATTAATATATAGATTTTTATGTCGTATGTACTGTTAACATTTAAATTTAACCTATTTTTCCGCTGTTTGTAAAATTGCTGTAACATGTCATAGTATAAGAGATTGCTGTACACGCCTGTAACTGGCTTACATGCCAGTACTTAATTTTATACATGTTAATTTTAAGCTTGAATGTTTTGTGTGTATTGCTGTTGGTGTGTCTAAATCTCTATATATAAAAATGAATTGCTGTTCGTTAGTCTCGCTAAAACTCGAGAACGGCTGAACCGATTTGGCTAATTTTGGTCTTGAATTATTTGTGGAAGTCCAGAGAAGGTTTAAAAGGTAAATAAATATGAAAATGCTCGGAATTAAATAAAAATAATAATTTTGATTTGATTCCTTTGATGTGTCCCCCGTCGGACGGATTCTTTTTGTTTGTTTTAAGTTTATTTTATACAAAAGCTTAGGTCTTTTATTTATCGTCTCAAAGTCTGCCGGGTCAGCTAGTGAATAAATAAAATAAAAAATCAGTATTAGGCTCGCATATCTACAAGGGTAATATGACTGACCTCACGTCCCGTGGGTAAATCCCTCAAGTGGTTCAAAGCTGCGTTGATGTCCCGAAGCGACGGCGCGTCCCACATCTCTGAGGGCAGCGCGCGTAGCTTGTTGTTAGACACGTCGAGGGTCATCAGAGCCGGCAGCTTGAAGAGGCCCGGTGGAAGGTCTTCCAGTCTGTTATCCTGTAGGGGTTAAAACTTTAGGGGTTAACTCTAATACTACCTAATCTACTACTGACCCTAGTCATCATGGATTCTTTTCCTCCATTTGACCCATCATCATTAGCCTACAGTCGTCCACTGTCGGACATAAGCCTCTCCCGATCCACACCACTGAGCTCGGTCTTCGGTTCTCCTCAACTACCTAATCTACTACTGACCCTAGTCATCATGGATTCTTTTCCTTCGTTGGACTCTTCGACATAATCCATTTCATCATCATCCTCATCATCAGCCCACAGTCGTCCACTGTCAGACATGACCTCTCCCGATCCACACCCCTGAGCCCGGTCTTCGATTCTCCTCATCCAATTCTTGCCCGTCACCGATTGACACAATCCATTTGTTGCTAGGCAATTACCATCTTCGGTCATGGCCCTTACCATCTTTGGCCACTAAGTCCCCCATGTCTGCGGAGGGAGTTCGGTTCCCTCTGTATTTTGTACCGTATGTTCCATGGGGAGTGCTCTGAGGAATTGTTCGAGATGATATCGGCATCCAGTTTTTACCATCACACAGCCCGCCACTGGAGTAGAGTTCATCCATACTACCTGGAGCCACTGCGGTCATCCACAGTGCGTTTCCAGAGGTCTTTTTTGCCACGTACCATCCGGTTATGGGATAAGCTCCCCTCCACGGTGTTTCCCGAGCGCTATGACATGTCCTTCTTCAAACAAGGCTTGTGGAAAGTGTTAAGCTCAGTCATCTTGCGACAAACATCCAGACTCAGATACCGAATGTCTTAAATCAAGATACGTTCAGACTGAAATACACCTCGTCTATTTATCGCACCTGACTTTAGCCCATGGGCAACACAACATCGATGCCCTCATCCGCCTTGAGACAAGTCGGACTCAACTATGACCATCCCACCCCGAAAAGCAGATCGCGTTACTGCTTGGCGGCTAGAGTCGTGATCTGTTAACCAACGCGATAATCTTCTTACCTCTTTATTTTTAACGTTGGGTAATCCGATACCCGATCGCAACAGACCAAGTTATGTCGGACTCCGGCGCCTAAACAGAAGCAGAGGGAGAATAGAAAGTCGTCGTGGCCTAAAGGATAAGACGTCCGGTGCATTCGTATCTAGCGATGCACCGGTGTTCGAATCCCGCAGGCGGGTACCAATTTTTCTAATGCAATACGTACTCAACAAATGTTCACGATTGACTTCCACGGTGAAGGAATAACATCGTGCAATAAAAATCAAACCCGCAAAATTATAATTTGCGTAATTACTGGTGGTAGGACCTCTTGGGAGTCCGCACGGGTAGGTACCACCGCCCTGCCTATTTCTGCCGTGAAGCAGTAATGCGTTTCGATTTGAAGGGTGGGGCAGCCGTTGTGACTATACTGAAATCTTAGAACTATATCTCAAGGTGGGTGGCGCATTTACGTTGTAGATGTCTATGGGCTCCAGTAACCACTTAACACCAGGTGGGCTGTGAGCTCGTCCACCCATCTAAGCAATAAAAAAAGGAAGACCTAGATCTTCTCTAGTCACAATCCTACCTGCAGATACAGCTCCTGGAGTGCCGGGGCGGTGTACAGGTCTGGTCTGTGCCGCTTACGTTTGAGTCGTCTCCCGTTGGAGTCCATTTCGTCTTCCAGTGGATCCTCGGATGTGGGCAGACGCTCCAGCTTATTCTGAGCTACGTTGAGGTACCTGAGGGCAGCAAAATGCCTGTTTACAAATTTCCCCCCTCAAGTGTCTATGAGACAACGACCTTTTGTTATTGTTTAAAGTCTGTGGTCAAATTGAGAATAGATTAATATTGTTTGTGTGTTATGTAACTAATATTGTGTAATATTGTTTAATATTATTTATCTATAATCTAGTTTTGACGAAATTTGTGATTGTAGAAGTATATTAATAGTCTTTGGACAATAGAACAATAATAGTGTACAAACCTATAATTTCTATTAATTATAGTCGAATTTCGACTATTGCGAGATCACTAGTTGTTTTAAGCTTCCGCTACTGTCTTCTTCACTCACACTTCATTGATAGGCTCTTACCGAGGTATCCACATTCAGCTTACGTTATTTGGGCGTGTGAAACATGAAGACGACTGAAAAATTACTGGTGGTAGGACCTCTTGTGAGTCCGCGCGGGTAGGTACCACCGCCCTGCCTATTTCTGCCGTGAAGCACTAATGCGTTTCGGTTTGAAGGGTGGGGCAGCCGTTGTAACTATACTGAGATCTTAGAACTTATATCTCAAGGTGGGTGGCGCATTTACGTTGTAGATGTCCATGGGCTCCAGTAACCACTTAATACCAGGTGGGCTGTCCACCCATCTAAGCAATAAAAAAAAAAAAAAAAAAAAACTTCAAGTATTTGCGGTGATTCCCGAGCGCTAGGATATGTCCTTCTTCAAACGAGGCTTGTGGAGGGTATTAAGCGGTAGGAAGCAGCTCGGCTCTGACCCTGGCATTGCTGAAGTCCATGGGCAACGGTAACCACTCACCATCAGGTGGGCCGTATGCTCGTCTGTTTATAGGGCAATAAAAAAATGGTATATGCTGTCACACCCATTAACGGGCTGAAAAGGGGGAGGGGTTTGTCGGCTCCTAAAATCCAGCTGTGGCCAGTCCAGTCCTCACCTTAGACTGAGCAAGGAGAAGAGTTCCGGCGGCAGGGTTCGTAGCTCGTTATTGGTGAGCTCTACCCTGGTGACGGCGAGCAGTGCCGCGCGGTCTGACGCCAGGCGAGGGTTCACGCGTAGGGCCGCGCTGCGCAACCAGCTCATGCTGTAGGGGAGACGGCGCACGGGCACATATCAATCACGGGAATATCTTAAAATGATATTATCTAAATCACTTTAAAGTTGATGCGCGCTTTTCACGGTTTTATCTCGTGGTTTTATGAATAACTAAATTTAATCGTACGTTTTCAAGTTGGAAGCTTATGCCCGATAGTTCCGTCACGGGGTTGGATGCGTAATTAAAATAGATTTTACGGTTTAATCTCGCTTATGATTACGGGCATATAGAATATTAAACAGTTTCCGCGACCGCGAACGACTTGGCGGTCCTTACAAAAGTATTTTCGGGTATACTTCTCGAGATATCTGTAGGGCATACTGGCCAAACTAATGGGAACGTGCGTGTGATGTCCACGGACCGTATCCTCGCCAGTTGACACTTGAGCTCCCGCCAGCAGACGGCCACGGGCGTGGTGGGGCAGGTCGCGCTGTACGTCAGCGCTGCGTCAGTGCCCTTGTTCTTGAAGACCGCTTCGGCGATGACGGACTTGTTGAGCTTGTTGTCCGGGTCCGCGTACGCCTGGAGTTTTGTACAGTTTATACGGATGGACCTTTCTAGAACGTTCTAAATGGTCTAATGATCATATAGTCCGTTCTACTGATACACATCGTTCTAATGATATAAGTACTTAAGTCATCAATCAATGAACGACATCTAAGATAAAGGATTTATTTATTTATTGCTTAAGTATACTTGGGAATAGTGTAGCTTTCAAACAGTGAAAGAATTTCAAATCGGTTCAATAGTTTCGAAGCCTATTCAATACAAACAAACAAACAAACCTTTCCTCTTTATAATATATTAGTATAGACTAGACGATGACCGAGCTTTGCTCGGTATTTTTTTATAACAAATAATATAAATAAACAGTTCATTTTCTTGGTCTAACCTTAAACCAAACACTCATTGGCTCCGGGTGGCTTAACAACGCCATCTGCTGAAATAGCTTAATAGTATTATGATTCACCAATAGATGTCGAGGAAGAGTCATAAAGTTGATTATCGATAAAGTTGATTATTGAAAACACGAATAAAACACCATTTTCTGAAAATAATTCGTAGCTAGATCGATTTATCGCCCCCGAAACCCCCTATAAAATAAATTTTATAAAAATCGTTGGAGCCGTTTCCGAGATCCAGATTATATATATATACAAGAATTGCTCGTTTTAAGGTATAAGATAAAAAAAAACTCCGACTGTAGCTGTAATTACCTCATTACACAGTTAAGGTGTTAGTGAACTGACCTTGGTGGCCAGGAGTTTGGCAAGCAGATCGACCAGACCATTCCTGCTGCACTCCCGGATTGCGCGGCAGTGGGGGTCCGTAGCGCCGTGTGCGATCAGCATCTCCGCTATTTGTATATTAGAAGCGCGGGCTGCAAGCGCTAGTGCTGTCCATGGACCGTCTCCTGTGCCCATCGTGAGTAAACAAGTAAAATGTTAAAAAGATAACGCTATGCTACCTAACAACTTACGGTTTATGAATGAGCTTCAATATAGCATGAACTTCGCCTCTGACTTTCAGACATGAGGTCTACGTAACAATTATATTATACAGCGGTTCTCTCATCCTTGACCTCCAGACCATCACTCTCATCCAGACCTGAAGGTATGCCTGCTGCGGGCTACCTGCCCGTATACGAGCTTACAAAACGCCCTGCCACCAGTAATTACCACCACCCTTTTTTTTTGTCTCAACGATGCATGGTTTTGTGAGCAGACCGCGGGCCAAAGGATTTTAGGGCCCACCCCCTAAAAGACTCCCCTGTACTCTTACACCCGACGTCCGATCCCCTCCGAGGCCAGAACCCGGATGAGGTAGGGAGGTTATCGCGGTCAACACTACAACCAGACGGCGTGGCTCATCCCAAGGACGCCCAGCCGACGGAGCCTTCGAGGCGAATCGAAGGCTCTGAAACGTCAACCGTCTCGGTGCGGTTATAAAAATGTGACAACCTGTGACAAGGACGGGGGGAGTGGTTCAAAAGTCCTAAAATTCGTGTGACGTAATTTATGGATGGCCCCTTGAGACTGATGATAGATGTCTATGGGCTCCAGTAACCAATTAACACCAGGTGGGCTGTGAGCTTCGTCTACCCATCTAGGCAACAAAAAATAGACAATTTTAATTATAGTAGAACAGACTCTCGAGAACCGACGAAAGTACTCCAGATTGAAAAGTAACCAAACTCACGCTCGGCTGGGTAGTTGTTGCGGCACGGCGAGGGGGATCCGTCCCGGGCAAGAGAGGCGGAGGCGCTCCGGGACCTGCGGCTGTCCCGGATACCGTCTGTGTCCAGCTGCATCAACCAGATTATGTTTTACCAACCATCAAAGACCCAAAGCCTCGATTGAAGGACACCATGGAACCATCCGTTCATTAGTGGAACCTCTTGTGAGACCGCCCGGGTAGGTACCACCAACCCGCCTATTTCTGCTGTGAAGCAGTAATGCGTATCGGTTTGAAGGGCGGGGCAGCCGTTGTAACTATACTGAGACCTTATATCTCAAGGTAGGTGGCGAATTTACGTTGTAGATGTCTATGGGCTCCAGTAACCAGTTAACACCATGTGGGCTGTGAGCTCGTCCACCCATCTAAGGAATAAATAAATAAAACCAGCTGCCGTGGTTTGGTCTAGAGTAGCACCACCCCGACTTACCATGTTCATATTAAGGAAGTAAAGGATTTAGTGGCCTCTGGATTTGTGTCACATGTACTAACAATAAGTCGTATTGTACCACCATTCTGCTTACTGTCAAGTTTAGCCTACTGAATTTCTCGCTTCAGTCTTCTCAGTGGGTCGCGATTCCGATCCGGTGGTAGATTCAGCGAAGCACTGCTCTTGCTAGGGCTAGTGTTAGCAAAATTCTTTCAGGTTGAGCGTATGGAGCTCACCTACCGATCTCTGAGTAGCTGGGATAGGCTCTTAGACTACCGGCGGATAGGCAGGGGGAAAATGTCAAGTTTTATTTGCGGGTATGTTTGTCACGAAAGAGAAAGAAGAAGGATCGATGCGTTAGAAATGTGGTGCTGGAGAAGGACGCTCCGTATATCTTGGACTGAGCATCGCACCAACGCCTCGATCCTAAAAGAACTAAATATCTCTCAAAAGTTGTCGTCAACAGTGCGATCCAGGATTCTTCGATATTTTGGACACGTATCGCGACGGCCAGCAGAGTTTATCGAGAAACTTGTTGTTCAGGGTAGGGTCAACGGTAAGATCTCGTGGACGAATCTTCATGCGCTGGACTGATCAGGTGAAAGACCTTACTGAAACCTCACTTAACGTGTGTGTGTGCGCCGGGCCTCGGTTCGCAAACTATGGAGAACATCTGTCAAGGTTTTAATAAGCAAGAATTCCACATGACCACGACTGCCCTGCCAAGAGCAACCGACTATGATGATGATGATGATGTTTATCACTCACGTCAGCTGGCGGTGAGGCCTGTACATCAGCAGATGCTCCGGCGGCGAGGAGTCGCTGCAGCGCGCGCACGTGGCCAGCGCGGACCGCCGCCACCACGCTGCCGTCACAGCCCGGGGTTGCCGACAGGGACACCGGTCTAACGCGTCTGCTGCTCTCGGATGGAGTGTCCTGGGTACCATGAACCATCAGGGTTGTCAATCACACATGGAGAAACTACTAAAAATGGAATATCTTCCATGGAGCGATTGACACTGAGCCGTGCCACACTCCGAATGATGATGGGGTCAACTTGCGTGAACGGTAGACCGCGGCTGGACTATGACATCGTTGATGTCATACCACTCACCAGAGGGGTCGTGTGTCAATCATATGTAGACAGAGATATCTATGAATATAAAATGGATGTGTGTTTGTCTATGGTCCTTGTATACTTCGATAAGAAATCTTCAGATTGTCCTAGCGTGTGATTATGACGTGAAGTTTGGTTACAATCAAAGACATATCAAAAATCGACCAGCAAAGCGAAAAGGATTTGTCTTATAACCAAGTAAGTCTTTATTGGTTTTCCTATACAGATACTCACTTGGTTTCCACCGGTGAGTCTGCTGACGATGGCGTGGATCCCTAGAGAAATGCCGCCTCGATGTGGACTGGAGGAAGGAGGAGGTTCCGACTCCTCGCTCTGTGGAAGATGCCTCACAATTATTATTACAAGGATTATTAGCGATATTTGATTATTCTTTTTATTTAGATTTTGATAAGTCTTTTTGTTTTCATTTAAATAAGATGGCGCTTTCATGGTATGGGGAAGGAGGGAGTCACAAATGGGATCCCCACCCCACGACACTAGTCCCAAAAAATCTCAAGATACCAGACTGCATCGTGAATAATACTAGTGCTTGGTTATGTTTAAATGAATATTTATCAATCTTCACCCCTCCAAAGATAGGAGCAAGTGGCGTGGAATGTTCCAGAATGAACTCTTGTTGCGAGGAGGTGTTCACGACCATCAATATTGAGGAAACCGAAGTGAGAAGAAGAAAAAGACTCCTCCTAACTCGGGACCGCTGGATGTGGTATATATGGGTGCAAACGCCACTATTGGCAATAATTAACATAATTAACATTTTACTGGTGGTAGAACCTCTTGTGAGTCCGCACGGGTAGGTACCACCACCCTGTCTATTTTTGCCGTGAAGCAGTAATGCGTTTCGGTTTGAAGGGTGGGGCAGCCGTCGTAACTATACTGAGCACTTAGAACTTATATCTCAAAGTGGGTGGCGCATTTACGTCGTAGATGTCTATGGGCTTCAGTAACCACTTAACACCAGGTGGGCTGTGAGCTCGTCCACCCATCTAAGCAATAAAAAAAAGAAAAAATAATAATAATATATAGTTTAGTTTATTCTATGTTATCGTTTATTTATTATTAGCAAGATGAAACTTATTCTACCATTTTTAATAATTAGCAGATACTGTTTTGATCTGAAGATGTTCAGAATATGTTTAATGTTTATATTATTGTTAAAAACACAAATGACTGTATAAAAAATTTAATATGAATAAAGCATAAATATTAATAATAATTTATATAATAATTAACAGTAATAATTGAATTAAGTATTGTAATTGTTATTCAATGATGTTGGCGCCATCTATCATTAGGCTGATTAATAACAATGTTAGTTTATATTAGTTAAAAGTCTTCTTATTTTTCTCCACCTTATCCCACTAGATGGGGTCGGCACAGCTATTTTTTCTCTTCCATTCTTTTCTATCAGCCGTCATCTCAACACTCACTCCTCTCTCTCTCATATCCTCATTCACACACTACATCCATGTGTTCTTCGGTCGACCTTTCCCCCTCTACCTTGCACCGCCATTTCCATACATCTGTTAGTTTAGTTTTTTTTATTAGTTAAAAGTAATTTATGTAAAATAAATTAATGTCAGAGTCATGTAAAAATCACTAAAATATATATTGCGAATATTAAGCCATATTTTGTGAATATTTGTTTGTATAAAAAAGAAGTTGTAGTTACTATAACCAACACAAAATGGGTAATTGTGTAAGAGCTAAGGCGTAGCTTTTTGTAATAAACAAGTATGTTAAAGTTTTATAGTATTGTATTGTATTTTCATTGTAAAAGACCTTATATGAGGCCTATAAAATCAGAGGCAGCTAAACGCCTTAATGTCGTAAAATGGATTAATAACGGTGCTATCTTGTTTAGTTAGTTGGACACGCTTTAGTTTTCATGTTATAAAAAATGCAGCTAAAAGTCTCTAAAAAATTCAGTTAAAAAAAATATACTCTGTACTAAGTACTAATAAACGAAGTTTTATCATTTAAAATTATTAGTAATATTCTCATTATTTATAAATCTGCTTTAAAATAAAGAATATCGTAGCTATCCGAACAAAGTTATTTCAGCTTCTCAAACCGGGAGTGTTGCTAACATTGGCCCTAGCAAGAGCGGTATTTCGATGGATCGGGAGGATCCGTAATGACGTGTTTAGGGCCGATCTTTGTAGTTTACCTGAATATTTGACAGACTTGGATTCAGCTGCCTTTGATTTTATAGGCCTCATATGTGAAAATCCTGGCGTAACGCCGACATATACTTATCTTGTTACCTTGTCAATGGGCCGGCAGGGGACCATGTGATCCAGCAATGCAGCCAACACGGGCATGTTGCCCAAGGTACTGGCCACATATAGGGCGCTCTGACCGCGCGCATCAGTGGCGTTAATATCGAACGCGGCTTGATACTCCCAACGTCCACTCGGGTCTCTGCGAGAAACGGTATTACCGGTGGTAGGACCTCTTGTGATAAATAAAACTATATTGTAAAGAGCAGACCACTGACATACACTAAGAACAAATAAAATACCTGCATTGACAGTTCTTGTCAAGAAATTATCTTAAAAGGAACAATCCTTGATTCCGATTGGTCAGTAAGGATAATTCGCCTAAGGTATCAATCGCTAGAGTCATTCCACTTAGGAAGAAAACTAAAAGCTGGTAATTCTGTTCCTAGTAATTACGCAAATTACAATTTTGCGGGTTTGATTTTTATTACACAATGTTATTCCTTCAGCGTAGAAGTCAATCGTGAACATTTGTTAAGTACGTATATTTCATTAGAATAATTGGTACCCGTCTGCCGGATTCGAACACCGGTGCATCGCTACATACGAACGCACCGGACGTCAATCAATAGTACTAAATCAGAGAAATCGCCCGAGCTCACTAAAAACCCTGCGCTGTACTTACATGTAAGTGTTGAGTACTGAAGCCGGGTAAGGATACTCCAGCAGCAGCGTGACGATAGACGCGTGACCGCCGATGCACGCGGCGTGGAGCGGCAACCATTTCTCTACTGTCTCTTGCTGTCCAACAATAATGTTTATCTATATACTAAATATGGGAAGCAAAAAGTTTGTACCCCTTTTTACGAAAATTGCGCGGGTGGAGGAGTATGAATTTGCCCACACTTATAGAGAATATAGAGAAGTGCAGGATTTACTGGTGGTAGGACCTCTTGTGAGACCAAACGGGTAGGTACCACCACCCTGCCTATTTCTGCCGTAAAGCAGTAATGCGTTTCGGTTTGAAGGGTGGCGCAGCCGTTGTAACTATACTGAGACCTTAGAACTTATATCTCAAGATGAGTACCGGATTGGGCTGTGAGCTCGTCAGCCCATTTAAGCAATAAAAAAAAATTACGTGATGAACTAATAATCACAGAGTATAAATCCTTTTAAAGGTATTTTCACTTAGCATGGAGATCACTGTTCTGATGTCAATATAAAAATCACAGATATGGGACACGTTGAAACATGACATTATTATTCAAATCACAAAATTTTCAAGTCCCTTATTCCATCAGACTTCCTGGTCTACTGTCGATGAAGCCAGAACTAACCTGGACAGCCTCAGGGAAATAAGAGAGCAGCAACTTGACGATGTCCAAGCGACCGTGGTAGCAAGCGATGTAGAGGGGGCTGTATTTCGTGACGGGGTGGGCTCTGCCGTCAGCGCCGGCGTCCAGGAGTGCCGCCACCACTGTGGTCAGGCCAGCTTCTGCAGCACTGGACATGTAGACAAGGAGACAATCGGTATTGAAAGGCCTCAAATTTATCAACACGCTTTTATTAGCTCAATGCGTATGGTCATATTTAAGGAAATCATTGCACGTTGTCATCACCGAGATGAAGACGTCTGATTGACTAGACAATTTGCAGACGCGTCAAAGATAGTTTGCGATAAAATAGTTTTATAACTTCTAATATCCCAGTAGGTAGGGTCTAGTTCCACCCACCAGACACCCGAAGTGCCCGTCGAGACTACTGGCAGATAGGTAGACAAAAAAAGGTTCGCAAAACAAAAAGAGGCACCCCCAAAAAGAAACACGGTAAACCCCTTACCAAGCTCGGGTTCGGGGTCGTTTAGGAGGTAGGAACCAAAATACCATCCTGATGCCCGCGGTGCACACCATAGATCTGCGGATCGTCCAGTCCCACGCGCCCCCTAGGTACAGGACCTTGTAGGAGGATCGGCCCCAGGCCCAGAAAAAAATGGTTGGCGGTACCTACCCCTATGTGTTGAGAAGATATTATACCACCAACAATTAGTACGGATTGACAGCAGCGTTAGTCCAACTCCCTCAAACTTTATTACTGGTGGTAGGACCTCTTGTGAGTCCACGCGGGTATGTACCACCACACCGCCTATTTCTGCCGTGAAGCAGTAATGCGTTTCGGTTTGAAGGGTGGGCCGTTGTAACTATAATTGAGACCTTAGAACTTATATCTCAAGGTGGGTGGCGCATTTACGTTGTAGATGTCTATGGGCTCCAGTAACCACTTAGCACCAGGTGGACTGTGAGCTCGTTAACCCATCTAAGCAACAAAAAAAAACTTACACATATAATAGAGTATTGGCTCCGCCCGGAGTCAGATTCACTATGAGGCCTGCGTCGTTGCCAAGTGTCGCCAACTTGGCCTTGAGCTGCTGACTCTCACCCCTGGATACCAGGTCGCGGAGTTGCGTGTGCTGCGACAATCTTTCACGGTCTTGAGCATCTGCGCGAAAGAGTACAGGGTGAGTTTTGCATCCGTCATTTTTTTGGCTTACCTACACTAATAATCTCGAGGGGTTATTATACTAGGTTCAACGGACGTATAGCCGAGCTCACGGGACTCAGCCTGGTGAATTTACCAACACTAGCCCTAGCAAGGATAGTGCTTCGCTGAATCTTTTGAAATTGTCGTGGTCTAAAGGATAAGACGTCCGGTACATTCGTATGTAGCGATGAACCAGTGTTCGAATCCCGCAGACGATTACCAATTTTATCAAATTAAATATGTACTTAACAAATGTTCACGATAGACTTCCACGGTGAAGGAATAGCATCGTGTAATAAAAATTAAACCCGCAAAATTATAATTTGCGTAATTACATATTCATATTCAGCATTCATTCAGCATATCGTAGTGCCGTAATTTGAAGGGTTACATAAACACACACACCCTCCTGTCTCCAAGGATCCGCGACGTCGTCAATAAAATACTGTGTTGCGTCGTAAGCGGCGTCCGCTTCCTCCTGCAGCTGCGGTAAGACTGGACGTTGCTGAGCCCGCGAACGTGCCTCAATGGCGGCCGACCGGAAGCGACGCATCTCGTTCCGTTTCCGATATTATGTTTTGTTTTTATTCACTCGACACTTTTATGTAAAAAGCAAATGCTTCAAAAACAATACAGTCTAATACAAATTTTCACAATTGTCTTTTAACTGATTTTAATAAATTATATTTTTTTTGTTTTTGTTAATAATTGACAATTGACGAGCTGTTTTTTTTAACTTCACAAAAAAAATTTTAATAGAAAATAAGGTATTAAATATATTATTCGGTTTTCAGGTATCATGATGACATCGATAATACTTTAAAGGTTTAATCTCGCTATCAGCCCCTGTTGACTACGAAATAATACAATGACAATTATGTCGCCACCCGCCTTGCGAGATGAGGTGGCTTGGGGCATTAATGTGGTGCACACACCCGACTCAGGCAAGACGAGACAACTGACAATAATTCCGCCACCCACCTTGCGAGATGAGGTGGCTTGGGGCATTTATGTGGTGCACACACCCGACCCAGGCAAGACGAGACAAAGGAACAATAATGCCTCCACCCACCTTGCGAATCAAGAAATTTCGTAACAAAAATAAAACCTAACACCCCCCACTCCGCCTACCATGTAACTCGCATTCAACACATTCACACGTTGCGCTTGTGTAGTGTTTGTGAATAAGCGCGCGGCGGGACGTCGCACTACATGCTCTATGCGCATCATGAAAAGTCTGCCCATCTCTCTCTCGCGCGGTCTAGCTTATGAGTGTGAAAGAGACAGTTAATGTTTTGCTTTTGTTAACGGTTATAAAAACAGCGTGGTCTTATTTTATTATTGTTTTAATATTAAATTATTATTGTTGTTTAATTATAATTGCATAAGTTGATAAAAAAATGTTATGCAATAGTTTTACCGCGGCAGTCCCCGAGTACCACACGTGTTTTTTTTAACGTTCCCGATAGCGTAAAAGTTAGTTCAAATTTGTATAAAGTTAGAACAGCGCCCCTAGCGGCAAACGTTAAGAAACTCGCACTGAGCACACACTACTCGCAGTGCATATCGGAACATAGCTGAAATGTGATTTTGCAAGCGTCAGTCTAGTGCACTTTCACTGCTGACGTCAATTTTGGCGGATAAGCTTTATCGTCCAACAAGCCATCGGGTACTAATTGCGATTTGTTTTATCGCTCCGGCTAGGCTGTCAGAGTGACGTCATGTAAACAACTCAGTGGCCCAAGAGAGGTATTTTATTTGAGAGGTTTTTTTTATTGCTTATATGGTTGGACGAGCTCACAGCCCACCTGGTGTTAAGTGGTTACTGGAGCCCAAAGACATCTACGACGTAAATGCGCCACCCACCTTGAGATAAGTTCTAAGGTCTCAAGTATAGTTACAACGGCTGCCCCACCGTTCAAACCGAAACGCAATACTGCTTCACGGCAGAAATAGGCAGGGTGGTGGTACCTACCCGCGCGGACTCACAAAAGGTCCTACCACCAGTGGCTCAAAAGAAGTTTTTTTTATTGCTTAGATGGGTGTACAAGCTCACAGCTCACCTGGTTGTTAAGTGGTTACTGGAACCCATAGACATTTACAACGTAAATGCGCCACGCACCTTGAGATATAAGTTATAAAGGTCTCAGTATAGTTACAACGGCTGCCCCCACCCTTCAAACCGAAACGCATTACTGCTTCACGGCAGAAATAAGCAGGGCGGTGGTACCTACCCGTGTGGACAAAAGGTGAATAGTACTTTAAGCCGTGGATGAAATGTCTAGTTGATCTGACGTCTAAAAGGCGACGTTTGTCGATGACGATGAAGAGTTTGACGAGCCAACGAACCCATAGACACTGCCCTCTGAGTTTCCGGTCGTGATTCCGGTGGTAGATTCAGCGAAGCACTGCTCTTGCTAGGGCCAGTGTTAGCAAATTCTCTCAGGTTGAGCCCGTGAGCTCACCTACCCGTCTGGGAGTGGCTGGAATAGCCTCTTAGGCTACCAGTGAATAAGTAGGAGAAAATAATTCGATGAAAGGATTCCGTTACATAAAAACAAAAGTAACCTACCGAACCAATAAAGGGGTGTTAAAATTACAATTACAAGTTTTCACTGGTGGTAGGACCTCTTGTCACACACAGACCACAGAGCTCACAGCCCGCCTGGTGTTAAGTGGTTACTGAAGCCAATAGGCACTACGACGTAAATGCCGCCACCCACTTTGAAAAATAAGTTTTAAGGTCTCAAGTATAGTTACAACGGCTGCCCCACCCTTCAAACCGAAACGCATTACTGCTTCACGGCAGAAACAGGCAGGGTCGCCCGGACTCACAAGAGGTCCTACCACCAGTAAAACCAGTAAATTAGGTTAACATATTCTCAAGTATTCAATACTGTCCAGTTAGAATTAAATCATTAGATTTAATTTAATTAGATATTCTATTACCCAACATATGTGTGAGAGTGTGTGTGCGTGCGGTTTATGTGTGAGAGTGTGTGTGCGTGCGGTTGTGTGTGAGCGGACGTGTATATATATATATCTATATACATGTTTAAATACACACAAGGTATTTAGGCATTTGTTAAGTTGTTATAAATTTTCTGTATGCACCTGTTTGGGATTGCAATCCAGATTGTTGTATTAAATATTTGAACTTATAAGTTCTATTATATTTTGTGCTATATTTTGTGCATCAATAAAGGAATAAAAAAAAGGCTTATCTACCGGCTTTGTGTGTAGGAAGTGACGCAGAAATGAAGGTTAACTCACTTAAAATCAGAAGCCTTATAAGTCGCATACGATTTTAGTGGGCGTTCAATCTGCGTTCTTGGGTAATAGAATTAGGCGCGTAATTCGATTTGGGTTATGTGTCCGAGGTCAGCAGCCCGAATCAGCGTGAGCAGAGATTGTGGAACTCTTACATGGCGGTCGTAGTTCGCTCGAGGCCGTTGACCCTAAACCATATCTAATTGTCATGCATTGCGTGCAAAATAAAAGCAGTAATGTAATAAAAAGAAATGCAAAATGATTATGTTTTTATTTCAAGCACAAACATATAGTATTGATGGTAGGATCTCTTGTGAGTTCGCGCGGATGGGTACCACCACCCTGCCTATTTCTGCCGTGAAGCAGTAATGCGTTTCGGTTTGAAGGGTGGGGCAGTCGTTGTATTGTAAAAATTGAGTCATTCATGAAGTCGTCGCGGCCTAAAGGATAAGACGTCCGGTGCATACGTATGTAGCGATGCACCGGTGTTCGAATCCCGCAAATTTTCCTAATAAAATACGTACTTAACAAATGTTCACGATTGACTTCCACGGTGAAGGAATAACATCGTGTAATAAAAATCAAACCCGCAAAATTATAATTTGCGTAATTACTGGTAGTAGGACCTCTTGTGAGTCCGCACGGGTCGGTACCACCACCCTGCCTATTTCTGTCATGAAGCAGTAATGCGTTTCGGTTTGAAGGGCGGGGCAGCCGTTGTAACTATACTGAGATCTTAGAACTTGTATCTCAAGGCGGGTGGCGCATTTACGTTGTAGACGTCCAGCTCCGGTTACCACTTAACACCAGGCGGGCTGCGAGCTTGTACACACAATTAAATAACGGTAGACCTTGTATTTCACCGCAACTACTTTGTCTAATTGACTTTTCATTATGACTTTTAATGGCATCAATTAGTTTGATCTTTGACTGGACAGATACTCCAATAATTACTGTCCGAGTATAATCGTGGTGTCGCTCACGTTTCGTCATTTGCCGCTAGGGGCGCTGTTCCAACTCCCATACAAATTTGAGTTAACTTTTACGCTATCGAGAAAGTTAAAAAACTCGCACTGAGCACACTGATCGATTCCCACAGTAACTTTTTTTTTAATCGTAGAATTTGGCTTAAATGCCCACTACTTATCTGCTTACACCGCAACATACCTGCTATATTTTTATATTTTACAGAATTCCTGTAAATTAAACGGTTGTCTGGAAGAGATCGCTTTTAGCGATAAGACCGCCTACTGTACATATGTGCTTTTTGACTGTTTTTTTTTTTTGAATGTAAATTATGTTGGTGTGCAATAAAGTGTATTCTCTCTCTCTTACAGATACAAAATACCAAAATTCTTTATTTTCAAAAGCGAGTCAAAACAATATAATAATTGGAGTCTCCTTTTAAGCGTGCAAGCGTTTGTGTACCAGGAGACTCCGCTCTCCCACAGCAAGTGGCACTTAGTTTTCTTCGTCCGCGGTGGAGGTCTTAATTAGCCACCGTTATTACACATTCAAACCTTTAGGAGCACTTAATTAAGAATAGTACATTGTGCACCAAGGGAGAAAAGTTGGACATTTCCTCCCGCGTGTAAAATTTCCAATTGGCAAACACGCGGGATGAGATAGATGGTAGAATCGAATTGATAATTTAAAAGTGTTTGTGAAGTGTTCTAAGTGTTGAATAC